GAGGCATAAATAACCAACAGTATGCAAAGAAGAAATCGTGTGCGAAAATTATTTCCGTAACAAAAAATTCTGAACTTTGGGTTAAATTCTTTAGTCCGATAATTTGTCTTACACTTTATACATAAGCCCATAACTTGTTCTGCGTTCTGGGAGCTATCCACAATGAGCTTAAGCCCATATACGACGCACTGTGTAAAAGATCCAATCCCCAATCTTAATCCAGTTCTGCTTTTGGAACCCGATTTTGGGTTCTCATTTAGAATTGCAACAAGTGGAAAGTGATTTGGTTCTTTTGCTTTCTCCAAGTACATGAGCAATTCTAATGCAAACCCACTAAGCAATCCCTTTTCTTTTCATGGCTCAACAACCTCAAACTTATTATAAAATACTCTAATATACAGGATAAAAAATTTAAGTTCAGATGCAAGTGAGTGGGCACATTGTTTTAGCCTAACTAGTCTAAACTATGTTTGCTAAGGTCATCTCCTATGGTTGGCCCAATGGCTCATTGTAGTCCATTTTCAACAAAAACCCATCTCTAATGTGGGTTAAAAGGAATGCGACACTTAGTACTACAGTTTAGTAGTATTCCTTTTCACTTATAAGTGAGAGGTTTTAAGTTCGATTCTCATCAAAGGCAACTTTAAACCTCATTATTGCTAGCTCATTGTGAGGCTAAACCCACCCTTTTTAATTAGTGTAGCTAATATCGTTTGCTAAAAAAAAAAAAAAAATAAACTAAATGAAATCTTGAAAAAAGACTCCAATCTCAAAAGCTGGTGATCAAGCTAAATGAAGCTTGGTTGGAGGCCCGAGCCACCACTGTTGGTGTTGGCTCGGCTCACCACGTGCAAAAGATTCAAGGAGCAACTGGGAGGCGCGGATCTGGTGTGATGCAAATATCAGCATATCTCTCTGCTCTCTTCAGTTTCTTTCTCTATCCTCTTATCTCCGTTCGATCTTGTTGTGGCCCATCACGTGCAAAATAATCAGAAAATAAGGCACACCATAGGAAGAAAGAGAAAAATGCAACGAATCCCACCACAAAAAATTCATATTATTAAGTCCAAATTGATTTTAGAGTGTTTTAATCAAAAGAACTATGAGAAAATTACGTATAGCCCTGCATCACTGAATATAAAAAATATAGCACTGCAGTATTCATCAAAACATTCATATGTTAGTAGGCTAAAAATGGCATAGGGGGCTACACTTAGGCCAAACTATCGGAAATAGACTAGGATTCCATCCCCTCCTATTTTCATCATCTTCCATCCTCTTCTTTCACATTCTTTATTTTATCTTTCTTTTTTGGTGAAAAATTAATATAAGATTTTGACGTGATTTAACCATGACCGTTCAAATAAGATGGAAGGGAAATGGAGGGAAAAAAAAAGGAAGAGAATCCTACTCGATCGGAAATGGTCTAATTGACCAACTATGCAAAAAAATTCAAACTAGATTGGAAGTGGCACCTCCAACATGTGTGGATTGGAGGAATTTTCAATTTCGTATTGTTTCAAAATCAAAGTAAAGAACATGTTCAATGGAGAAAATAAGGAATATGCAGCAGTTCTTCTCAACCTTCTCATGTTGGCCAACATAGGATATGCATTTTGAGTATTTCTTTCAACCTTTCTATTTTTAGGGCAAACTTAAACCACTACAACAGTCTACTGCCTTATTGGTTGCTAGTTGTAGTGGTTCTTCGCCTCACTATCGGAACCCATTTCACATTGTTCCCAACACTTAGGTCAGTCTCTATTGGCTAGGGAAACTTCGGTGAAACAAGGCACTTCCTTAAACAACCACTATGAGATTTGGTGGCTGTAGGCTGTAGCTAGAAGAGTTTACTACAAAACAGAAACTTTTCATGGCCAATGTTTGTGGCTACTGCACTTTCTTTTTGTTCAATATTTGGGACATTGAATTGACACAAAAGTTCGGTTGGATCCCCAGTTAAATGGCTGACCGGCCGGTGGTGATCGACCGGCCATCGAGGTCCCGCCCAGCCAAAATGGTTTGAGGAATTTTCTAGATGGTATTGGAGTTGTTGGAGTCCCCATTCAGTCGTTTAGAAGTTCCCATGTCACATGTTGATGCTGGTGTTAATATTCTAACAGGGATTCTGCTGTATACGCTTCTAGTTAGTAGGTTATTAGAGTAATGACAGACGAGAATATTTGAAGGATATATATGCAGGAAACTTTTAACATTACTTCTAGTTTTAGCAATCTTTGTGCCACTCATTTTCATAAGCATTCTCTCTTTTCCACTGCTTTACAATACTTAGGTTAAGTTTGAGCTTTGCAATATTAAAGGAGATTAGCAAATCTAACTTTCTGTTGCATATAATATATGAAACCAGAGATTTGATCCATACCAGCAGGTTGATTCTCGCTTCCTCTTTCACACTATAGCAAGTAGTCAAAGAAGTCGAAACAGATGCTATAGCCGGATAAAAAAATTTCCAATATAACTTCCTTAACATATAAAACTCAGTTAAAACATACAGATAATATGATTAGTCATATTCCATTTACTGTTTTAACAGATAATATGATTAATCATATTCCATTTACACCTCCTAATTACGTACATTATGATTAGTAACATGAACAGTCATATTCCTTTAATTAGCCGGTGGGCGTTGAGGAATAATCTTGACATATTTAGGTGATTAAGATTAGCATACTAATGTTCTCCTTGACGAAACGCTACCAGGGAAAAGCTACATTCTAAGAAAATTAAGAATAATAATCAGATGATTATACCCCTTCGCGGTGATGTTGAGATGATGAATATGTGTTGTAACTCTCATTCAAAAAGCAAACCTAACACTCCCACAATTAGCTTCATAAAAGCTTGTTGATCAGACCCCTACCCAAAAATAAAGAATCAGATTCCTAACATCATCTAGTGAAAATTGGCATATGGAAATATACACTTATGGAAGATATTTATGCCTTACACCAAAAGCATGAGCATATATAAAGATGAAATGCTTATTGTTAGCCTGTGTTTTTTTTTTTTTTTTTTTTGTGTCTTTCATTTTTTAGAGGATTCGTTTATGTGACAGATGCTCCAGTCAGAATATGCGTTTATGACATAACCTTAGGGCAAAAGAGATAAAATAAAACCTATGAAGACTTGGAAAAGACTCAAAGAAAAGAGATTGAGTACTTGGAATTAACGGAAAACTTAGCTCAAATCCGAGTAGAGTAGAGTTCTAGGGTTCATACAGTCAACCTCATTTAGTGAGATAAAATTTTATTGTTGTTGTTTTGTATCTTTTGTTTTTTTAGAGATAAGGTTTGTGTTTTCAGACTAAGTGTAACTTCTTTTTTCATTTTAATAAGATATCCCCACATACTTTTATTTATTTTAATAAGCATTTTTCAAGTTCAACAAGGGGAACCCTAGATGTGTTGGCAATATCAATGCGTGGGAGTAATTAAACAGTGGACTGATAGGACCACACCCAATTGAGAAACCCTAATAGCCACCCAATTTGTCTCTGAAAAATTATAGCCACGCATATTTTCATGATCAGGCATTCAGGTGGCTCAGAAAGGAAACCTAAGCTACAGGGCAACTACGTACATAGAATGATATGGCCACACCAGTACGTTAATAGTACCAGTCAGACGATTCTAGTCGAAAGGCGAAGCATCTCAGTCCAGCACTGAAAGCTCAATGCCAGAAGAAATCACATGAACTTTGATGGGGAAATTTGGATAGCCTTGTTAAATTCGACCTAAGAAATTAAGCAAAGGTTTTCCATGATTAGGGAGTAGATAAAGAATTGATCCTTGGAGATTAGTTTAAGACACAATGGCCTTATCTGTTACACCGACTGCCACGCTGAGGACGGATCCAAATTTTTTTTTTCATGAGGCGACTTTGAACAATAAAATATGGTTTAACAAGCAATAACACTAGAATGTCAAAACTTTTCTTAAACTTCGGTTATTATAGTTAGTTGTTCAAACACATTACATGACACATCATATATTCATGAAATATGTTGCTACTACAGTATTACTCTAAAGTTATCAAATATGTTACATATCTTCTTTAGTTCGCTAAAATCGTCACTTGGGAAATACAAGTAAATATACAACTAAAAGGTCAGTTAATTATATTTCATATGTGTATATATTTGTGAGTATGCTGTACATATATATCTTCTCTACATATGTAAACTTAGAAGTATGTAGAATTCTGTCTCCGAGTTTGTTTGTATGTGTGTGGTGGGGTGCTGCCCCATTGAGCCTTAGTTGTCTCTGTACATGCACAACATGGTGGTATTAATCCATTCATTATAATTTCTAACACATGTATCTACTAATTTTAGCTATATCCCAAGTTAATTAAATATTAGCATCGTTGTTTACTCATATTATAACACGTGAATTAATAATTGCACGTATCAGTGTGACAATCATACACTAAGCAATTGTTCTTCATTAGGGTAAGTGATTTTGAATGGCGTGGATGTAGGGCATGCCCTGAAAAGCTACAGTTTAGCTTTATCTTCTAGACCTTCAAGAACATCATGAGATTAAGACCCTCATTTATTTTGTCTATCCCACTTGCATTTAGTTTTGCACTCCATCTTGTGATATATCAATATTACATATCTTGACAAGAACAGGATGCATGTTTTGGTCGGGCAAATCACCTAACTCCACACATGACTCCCAATTAATTTGCACATCATCTCTATCTCCCGTTTTTACAATCAGCTTCTTACACTTGTATGTACTGAGCTTCAAAGCAGCAATGTTTATGTCAATTCAGAACATATTAGAAGATCAATATTGCTTTAGTATTTGGACTGGGGGAGTATATTTGGCTCCCGTTTTACCTTCACTTTCCCTTTTTTCTCAAATTTTTGAGGGGTAGAAGCTGCCAACTCTATCGTTTAATGGTTCAAAAGGTTGGGGAGAATGAGTAGTCCTTTTCCTGAAGTCTAGACCTTTCTCCTATATGTCTACCACCACTTTCCCAGTCTATAAATATGGCCCCCTTCTATCACTGCCAACGTACTTGTGTTTTTTCGTGTCCACGCAGTCCAGTAACCCTTCCCCTTTCCTTTCCGAAAAAGAGTCCAAGAAGCTTTGAAAACGAGATGGTGAGTTTCAAGTGAACTTTTTTAACTGTCTTAGTCCTCGGTTTATTTACTGTTATGGACTGACTTTGTTTCGGCTATGATTGTAGGATGAGGCGCGCCATTCGGACATATGGGTAGGCTACGTAGATTGGAGGAACCGACCTGCCAAACGAGGCTGTCATGGCGGCATGATTGCTGCTTCCTTCGTCTTAGGTTAGTAAGTAAGCCTTAGGTCACTGAATCCGCAAGAACATTTTGTTAACTTTTGATATGTTGCATATTTTAAATATATAGAGAATGTGGCATGAATATTTCTAACTATGTTGTGTTGCAAACTTTAGTGGTGGAGATACTGGAGAACCTTGCTTTCCTGGCCAATGCAAGCAACCTTGTGCTTTATCTTTCTAAATTCATGCATTTTTCTCCATCCACTTCCGCCAACATTGTAACTGATTTCATGGGCACGGCCTTCCTCCTTGCTCTCCTTGGCGGCTTTCTAGCCGACGCTTTTTTCACCACCTATTGCATCTATTTGATAAGTGCTGCTATAGAATTCATGGTAAGTTTCCAACGAACATTCGGATCCTAACTCTCTCCGCCATCGATCACTTCATAAAATCGGGTTTTAACAGTTTCATACTAAACAATCCTCAATAATTGCACTCGAAGCATTTCGTTTCAAATTGCTGTCGCAGATCAGCAGCTAGGGTTATGCAAGAAAATCCTTGTTGTCGATGTGGGACTCACGATTGAAATATCCACATAGCCGCGTATAATTTTATTTTTCCAACATGAAGGAATTAATTTCTCAACTTAAGCATAATAAATATTGAATACAAAGATCATTATCGGTATTGTTTTGTTGTAAAACGAAATCTTTATACACTGATGTAATTAACTAGACTCATTACTAATTTGGACGGATGGAGCAGGGCCTACTGATTCTCACAATCCAAGCTCAGATCCCATCACTAAAACCACCACCCTGCGTTTCACTGAGCACCAAAAGTCCATGCCAAGAAGTTCATGGCGCAAGAACGGCGATGTTATTTGCAGGCCTCTATCTGGTGGCGCTCGGAGTTGGAGGAATAAAAGGCTCTCTTCCACCGCACGGGGCTGAGCAGTTTGACGAGACAACACAACAAGGTAGGAAGCAGAGATCTGCATTTTTCAACTACTATGTTTTCTGTCTCTCTTGTGGCGCTCTTGTTGCTACTACTTTCGTAGTGTGGATCGAAGACAACAAAGGCTGGCAATGGGGTTTAGGGATTTCCACTGCAACAATACTCATCTCCATACCACTCTTCCTCCTTGGATCTCCAAAATACAGGACTAAAATTCCTGCAGGAAGTCCAATTACAACCATTTTCAAGGTATAAATTCTGAGAAAAATCGTTATATCTTTTTGACAGGGCAATATTCTAATTTACTAGTTTTTTTGGAACTTGACTAACTGGTTTAATCCACATCTGCAAAACAGGTCTTTAGATAAAACAATTTCAATTTGCATCGTCTCATCATTGCTAAACAAAGCTGCATTTTTTTTATCCAACAGGTTCTAGCTGCAGCAATTTGGAATGCCTGCAAAGCTAGAAAACCGAGCAACACTGTCACGAACATGTCTTTTACCCCATCTTGTATGAATGAACCTATTGAGGGAGACGAGCAGACGTGTCAAACTCCAACCGAAAGCCTCAAGTTCCTTAACTTAGCAGTGACTACTAGGCCTGTCCATCCAATGCTGCAATGTACTGTAAAGCAAGTTGAAGAGGTTAAAATAGTGCTAAGAATTCTCCCTATACTAACGTCTACAATAATGTTAAACTGCTGCCTTGCCCAACTCTCCACGTTCTCGGTGCAACAAGCTGCCACGATGAACACTAATCTCGGATCCTTGAAGGTTCCACCCGCTTCTCTCCCGGTCTTCCCTGTCCTCTTTATCATGATTCTTGCCCCCATCTACAACCACGCAATCCTCCCATTTGCGAGAAAATTAACCAACACGGAAATGGGGATCACTCATTTACAAAGAATTGGAACTGGACTAGTATTTTCAATCATTGCCATGGCGGTGGCTGCTCTGGTGGAAATCAAGCGGAAGAAAGTCGCAACTAAACACGGGCTACTAGACTCCACCGAACCTTTGCCCATCACATTCCTATGGATGGCTTTGCAGTACTTGTTTCTCGGCTCCGCGGATCTTTTCACATTGGCTGGCATGATGGAGTTTTTCTTCACAGAAGCTCCAATGAGCATGAGATCCTTGGCCACGGCACTCTCTTGGACCTCACTCGCCATTGGATACTACCTCAGCTCCGTGCTTGTGTCCGTAGTCAACGGCATCACGGGCGCATACAGGCACACACCATGGCTAGTTGGCAACAACTTGAATCATTATCACCTTGAGAGGTTCTACTGGTTGATGTGTGTCTTAAGTGGACTCAACTTTCTGTACTATCTCTTATGGGCGAGCCGCTACGAATACAGATCAATGGGGTCTGAAGATCACACGGAGGAAAATCAAAATCAAATCCTCAAGAATTAAACAGAGTTCCATGACTTATCATACATACATATATATGTATATGTGTGAGTGGTATCAATATTTATGATTCAATCTTGCAAATGTATTATCTCTCAAGGTTTAGGCTTGCTTTGAGAATCGAAAAGATATGAACTTGCGCTGGTTTCTTCATCAAATCAATTGAACTTGTGTCCCACTGTTGAGTGATCTCCAGTAAATAAAATTTCCAACTAATTTGTTGGAGAAATTGATTACCAAATGTGACAGACCGAGAAAGGCATGTTACTTGACACCAAGTAATTTGATCAAACAGATAATATCCTTGGATTTAAAAATCAAAATCTTATTTTGGGTCCGTAATCATATCGTAAAATAATTCAATTCAAGTTTTCTTTTTCTTAAAAAAAGGGAAATCTAAAAGACAAATGGGTTGTGGATCGAAAAATCTCAAATAACATAAGGGGTGTGCTATTCATACATCATTTTTTTACTTCTCACACATTTCTTGTTAATTCTGTTATTGGACCTTCTTCAATTCAATAGATCCGACGGTTGAAAATTAGAAGGATATGTGAGAAGTAAAAATGATGTGTGAATATCATACCCCATAACAGAACTATTCAAAAACCGTTACCAAGCCACAAGATCAATAAATCATGTAGAGATCAATCCACAACAGCCAGATTTTGATACCCCTCACCGGATATGGCAACTTTCATGACCTGTTCGGGGTCAACATCCCCGTCATTGTCCAAGAAGCACTCGACAAAGTCCTCGGAGTTCCCACTCATAGCGGTCACCCCAACATTCTCGTCGCATCTTCGGTCCCAAAACACTGTGTGGAACCATATCCCCCTACCCTTTCTCCTTAAAATTTCTCTGTATAGCCTCCTAATCGATCCTCCAGCTACGGTCGGAAGCATCATCGAAGTCTTGGTCACTGGTGAACAGATACAACTTCTTAATCATTTGCTCTGGCTTCGAGTTCGCATTCACTGCCACTTCCAGAATCAAATCAAACACCTTTTGAAAATTAGCGTTACGGTGCCAGCCCTTATTGTCCATCCTCATAAACCTGCACTTGGATTTAAGATCATCACCTTGTACTAAAAGTATCTGAGGGTTTCGACTAAAAGTGAAGACCTTTCCTTTCCACGTCAATTTCAGTTAAACCTAAGCTATACTAGATGTTCATGGCATGCGATGTAATTTGGATTGAAGTGATGAATTTGACCCTTCCATGTGATAGTCACGCGAGTTTGTTTAACGGAAGACTAACGGAAGTTTGGGTTTAGTGCATTAATTAAAGTTTGAAAAGGCATAAATGTTTGATCAAAACAATATAAAATTTAAGCAACTTATTATTAGTGTCACATTGATACATATTATTATTAGCACTGTTCTAAAAATCCCCACCTAGCGCCGCCTAGGCTCTAGGTGGCTGGACACCACCTTGATTAATGTCTAGGCATTTGAAAATTAAGAAAGTGTGCCTAGACCTGCTGAGGTGCCCGTCTAGACCACCTAGGCACCCGCTTAGCCTGCCTAGACCCGCCTAGGTCGCAACTCAATTAGACAGACAATATATAACTTTAATTTTGCATTTTTTTTTTTTTCAATAAATTGTCAGAGGCTTGTTGCCTACTTAAATGAACACACATTATATTCTTGGTCCCCATGTTTTCTTTATGTTCCAATACTTCATAATATATATGTCATACTATTTTGTAATTTATGATCAAAATATATATAGATTTTAAGTATAAGCGGACACTTATTTACACGAAACATAATAGATTTATTTAAATCATCCTAATCTGCCTAGACCCCAGCCCGCCGCATGACTAGCGCCTAACGTTTTTTAGAATCTTGATTATTAGCACTAAGTATGTGATGAAATGTTGAAGAGAACTGAAATTCTAAACACAAAGTGTGCAGCTGTTTCCTCTAACCCAATATAAACAAAGGGCTTCCGCTGTCTTCCGGCTTTCATGAATTCAACAGCTCCTCTTTCCTACTGCTGCTGCTGCTGCACGGCTTTCTTCTGTATAAATACCATAATCAAATGCATATGTCAATATCCTCTTCCTCGTTCTCTTTGCGTCTATGTTGTCAGGGCCTTCTACAATATCTTAGAGAACCTCGAGGTGGTCTGTAAGATCCACAAACAATCCTGCGACGGACATGACACTGTGCGCTAGCGTTTCGCTGTGGTTTGGTGAAGCCAAAATGCCTCCGTATCCGGCATTCCTGTCTAAACCATCGGCCCTTCGGTTACAGATGAGCTTGAGTGTGATGAGAGGATTGTGAGACCAGACAACCGAGATGAGTTCTACTTGCCCTGGTTTCTTCATCGATTTCAATTAACAAGTGGACTGATTTATTTTATTTTTCAATGAATTTGGTTGAGTTGGAGAAGAAAAATAAGAGAACTACTGACTTAACAGATTGACATAGAAAAGATGCTTACTTGGGCACCAAGTATTTTCACCAGATTTACATCTCTCCTAATTTTTCGATCAGGTAATGTTAAGCAGAACAAATTTTTAAACCAAATTTTATAAATCATATGATGTGGTTGTTGATAAATTAATTATATTCACCAAAACATAAACCAATAAGATAGAATTCGGCAGTGTCAGGAATGATCACTCCGATTCCTTCACTCAGAGGGTGAGCAAGTATTTCGCAAAAATACGCTGAGTTTTCAATGAATTGGTTGGAGAAATAAACACCAGTTACCTGCATTTCAACGAGCAGCAACAAGTCCACACCAGCAAGCAAAGACGGGCAAATTGTGCAGACTGCAAACATATGCATTCTTCAACTACTACCATGCCTTCGGTCTCACTCATCGGACTCTAGCTGCTACTGGTTTTCCTGCCGCGAGTCCAACTGCAACTATTAGGCCAAAACAATTTAAAGCAAAGCCTGAACCTGCATAAGCAAAACAAACCGCCTTTGTTCGCACCCTAAACGCTCTCCGCTGCAGCAATTCAAAATAATACTAGGCTGCTGCTGCATTGTTCAATTCTCCACATTCTCAGTGCAACAAGCATCCACCATAAATATCAAGCTTTCAGTAAGAATTTCACGAAAACCTACTTTCATTTCATACAAAAACAACACAAGCATTGATTCATTTGTATTTTCCTCGACGCGAAACAAACAATTTCAGAACAGTTATCAATCCATTTCTCTAATTTAGTATATCACATACATAATTCTCAATTTTATCCTACCAAAAGGAGAAAAACTGAAAAACAAAAACAAGTGAAAAACTTAATCAGCTTCTTGCAAACCATCCAACACAACTGACCCAACTAACAAGCCAGCAGCGCCGGCCCCAAGCACACCAGCCACCACAGCCTGCGCTGCCACCAGCGCCGCCGAGTCATCCGGTATAACCACGACTGCCACCACAGCTGCCACCAAAATGGGCAGAGCCGCCGAGGCCAACGCAGCCGGGGAGAATCCAGCCACCTTCTCGAGCAGACTGAGCAGCCCGAGCTCCTCCGCCTTGGAAAACAGCCCCAATTTTTCAATCGACGACAGGGTGACCCCGAGCTCCTCCGCCTTGGACAAAAGCCCCGCCTTCTCGACGTTGCTGAGGACCTTCCGCTTCTCCAGCTTCTTGAAGACGTCGACTTCCACTTCCTCCGCCCCTTCGTAGAAGATTCCCGCTCCGTACCACTTCTTCTCCCAGCCGCTGTCGAGCTTGTTCACCTGGAAATTTACAAAATTCACAAGTTCTCAGTAAACAAACAAAAGGGTATTTATTAATTAACCAAAAAACAAAAGGGTATTCGTAATTTCGTCTAAAGATACTTTCTTGGCAGCCAAATAGAAGTTACAGAGCAAGACTGGACGTAATTACCTTCTTTTGGGGCGCCATGGAAACGATTGTTGACGATGGAGATTTGGCGGGGAAGTTGCGGGAATAGCCGAAGATGGAATTGAAGTGGGGTTTGGAGGAGAGGAAGTTTCTAGTGTGGTTGAGATTACAGGTAGCTGAAGATGCTGCAGCAGTGACCGCCATTGATGATGTGTATCGAAGCTCTGGCTCCCTGTGTGTTTGATTGTCTGTGTGTGCTGGACTGACACGTGGGATGACAGAGAAAGAGTGTGGAAGGAAGAAGGGAAAGGTTTGGATCTGGTAATCTAACGTCACAGTGTACCTGCCAATCAAATTGACGAAAGGTGATAGCTTTATCTTTCCAAATTTCATGTTCCAATTAATTACAAGAAATTATTTCCAAAATAAGATTGGGAAAATTGGGCTGATAAATTGATCGTGTTTGTTGTGTTTACGGGTTTTAAACCTTAAACTCAAACTCGGTCTTTTATCTTTTAAGGATAAAATATTATTTTAATAAATAATCAAATAAAAAAATTCAGACTACATTACTAAATATTAACATCTAAATTCATAAGTTCCTTTTGATTCAATAATACAACTGCAATCATTTTATTAAGCACTACATCTACATGCCACATAAATTGAGAAAAAGACTAAGAGCTCGTTTGCATGTACTTTTAAAATCACTGAAAACATTTTTGGTGAAAATATTTTTGAAAACAATTCTTAGTAAAAATGTTAGTAAACCCTGGAAAAACACTTTTTATAAGACACGCATAACTGGTGATTCTTGTAAAATGCACTTAAAGTGTTTTTGGAATCTGTTTGGGCCCAAAATAATATTGTTGGGCCGATTGTAGGTTTGTGCTCTGTCCAAAGCCGTGTCAAAAATAATATGGGCTGTCTGGTGATTCCGGGTCATTCAGCAGGGATGGTCGAGTCCTATTACAAGAAGTAGTAGTTCAGATAAGCAAAAGGGTCGAGGAAGTCCTAGTGCAATTAGGATTCTCGACCAACAATGAATAATGCCCCAAAAAAGGGTGAGTTCAAAGTCCTAATGGGAGTAAGGTTGTTTGAAGCAAAGTTGGAATGAAACAAGAACTTCCAATCCATATATGAGTTTAATTCGATCTCAAGAAGGAGTTGGTGCTATAAATACAAGACATCATGCAACAATTCGGGACCTCCAATTCAACACACAACTGTCCTGCGCAAAACCTCTCAAACATCTTGAGATTTTTTATTTTCTTTTTTCTGCTAACACACCTTCAGTTTGGATAAACAGCATTGTTGCTGTAGAATCAGCCGACTGAGGAGCACCTTCAGTTTGGATAAACAGCACTGCGTCGAGGCCGACGGGTTACTTATCCAAGTCTCAGTCGAGAAGGGTTTTCGAATCCCTATTGGTAGAAGTCATCTTATTAGCCTTCTCGGCAAAGTAAGGTGTTACGGGTTACGACATTCGGCGTATTGGACGTTGAGTGATTTTATGATTGGATACTTACAAGTGAGTTTCAGAGTTCGGCATTCTGACGGCCGAACCACATTCACCATCAAGACATACATTACTTTTGAATACTTGTGTCCATATGGTCTGTGACCGAATCGGGCACCAACGATTTGTGAACTTTGCAGAACTAGCAGCCTTGTCTTCAGGCTCGAGAATCCAAAGGTCGAGATTTGTTCCTTCTCAGCCGCAGTCGCAAGATAAAGAAGTCAGCAACGCGCTCAATGCAACATCAACAAATTTTACTCTTCGGCCAAGCTTGGCCGACGACTTGGCACGCTTCACATTCAACCGAATGACGTAGTTAGCTTATTAGTTACTCAACATGCGCGTCATGTAGGCTTTATAATTTTTAGGGTCAACAAAACCCTAAAATATTTTCTCTAAAAGTGCTTTCAGTCATTTTAAAAATACATCCAAACGAGCCCTAAAACAACTCGGGTTTTATATTTATAATTTATATTTTTACAAACGATAAAGTTAGTAAGTTAAATTGTTAAATGTTAGAATAAAGAAGCTCAATGTGGATCTATAACCATCAAAGTGCATAAAAATTATTGAATAGATTATTCACGAATAAACATAAATCAATTCTTTAAAATAACGAGTCGACAAGTACCACACACACAAAGCACAAATAAACTCGAAATTCTAAGATCGACACCACCTATTTCAATTTGGCCTTATTCACGAAATGACCCCAAAACTCCGTACTTGTCTTATTCTGAAGTACTGAAAATTTGCTAATTGATCGTTTGCAGCTGAGAGAACATATAGAAAAAAAAAAACGTATTAAATAAGAAATAATAATTATTACGAAGATGTACAAATTCACACAATCTTTCGCTCCGATGGAAAACTCAAAGCTTATCACTTTCCCCGGGTTTTATTCAATTTAAATACCGCAATTCTTATTTTTCTTCGTCTTCAAGCATTGAAGGGGAACTGAAATCTTCTAAGATTTGCAAAAAAGTTACGTTTCACGTCTTTCTCTGTAATTCTCAAATTTAGATGGTGGGTTGATTTGCGATTTTCGTTTACTTAGGCAATTTGTCTCGAAATTACTTGCTTTTTATAATTTCTGCACATTTTCCCGGCAAAGTTCTGTTTTTTCCAGTAAAATTTGTTTCTTTTTATTGAATTGCAACGTGGGTTTTGGATAATGTAATCAATGGAGCAGTAATAATTGAGTTTAGGTGAAAGTTTCAATTTTTCTGTATATATCTGTGACGCGTATGAAACAAATGGGAAATGTGAAATGTAGGTTAGGCTAGTTGGTCATGAATCCGAGTTTGAATCTCTCTCCTGCAATTTAAAATATTACATTATAAAAAATAAAAAAAGATGGAGAAACAAATGCAGCAAAACCCCATATGTCTTTTTCATGGTTAATAAGGCCGAAGTGATAGATCTTAGCTGTGACAATGAATGGTGGTGGGTGGAATGTATTCATTTGATATATGTGTGTCTGTTCTTGTTCTTTGATTTTATATACTAAGTTATCTCTTGGTTGTATCTTGATGAATACTATGTAACGGCCAATGTTTGCTATTTAAACACCTTCTACGATGTTTCTGAGGCTTGTTCTGCAGTAAACTAGTTTGTTTTATGTACAACTTTGCAACTTTTAAATGTTAATTTTGTTTTGTTTGGGATTTAATTGTGTGAAGTTGTTGTAACAGCTCATTTATAAGTGTTCTTTGTTATATACCGAGTGACGAATTATCGATATCTAATTCATTGACTTTGTAAGTTTTCATTGTATTTCTACCAGTGGTATAACCTGAAACTTGAGGAGATTTACAAGTCTATATATATCTTACATTCTTACCTTGTTTGGGTCAACTCATTCCTATCTTTCTTCCTTCTTCCCTTCCTCTCTTGTTGTCCTCCTCTGTTATTAGTCTCTCCTCTCTCTCTCTCTCTCTCTCTCTCTCTCTCTCTCTCAAGGTGAACAAGTAGTTTTGGGTGTTCTTGTTCTAGGTATTTTAAAATGTGTTATGCTCACTGTTCTAAAAATCCTTACCTAGCGCTGCCTAAGCCCTGCCTAGACGCTAGGCGGTTGGTCACCGCTCCAATTAATGCCTAAGCGTTTGAAAATTAAGAAAGGGCTCATAGACCTCCTGAGGCGCCCTCCTAGACGGCCTAGGCACCCGTCCAGACCCGCTGAGGCATCGACTCACTTAGGCAGAAAATTGATAACTTTCATTTTGCATTTTTTTTTTTCAATAAATTGTAAGAGACTTGTCAAATACTTAAATGAGCACACATAATATGCTTGTTCCCCATGTTTTCATTATGTTCCAATACTTCATAATATATGTGTCATTCTATTTTGTAGTTTATGATGAAATTATACATATTTTAAGTATAAACATACGCTTATTTACATGAAATATAATGGATTTAGTTAAATTCGCTTAGTCCGCCTAGTTGCCCGCTTAGGCGCTAGACCTCAACTCGCTGCCTGACTAGTGCCTAGCATCTTTTAAAACCTTTTGCTTCTAAAACATCTTTTTTTTATACAACCTCTACTTGGAATCTAGGATAGTGTTATGAAAGAGCACTTGAATTGTTTCCATGTTTCAATCATGCCTCAGTTCTGTTTTCTCTTTTGCTTGACATGAGTTTTAAATCTCTCTCGCTAGTGCCCACTCGCGTAGAGAGAGAAACACTATTATTAATGTCTTTGATGAAATTTGATTGAACAGTATTCTTGTGTTGAAATTTTATTAACTTCGACCAGGCAACTTATATTACCAATATCTAGTAATTTTTCATGATTTTTTTTTTTCTTCTTATACGAAGATTTCTAATGCTGTTGAAAATCTGAAATCATGATTGTTGCTGTATAATCCTTTTTTCTTTCCTATAAATTGTTTGTTTCCAGCAAATTCCTGACTTGCGTATACCTTTCTTGGAGGTACAGTAGTGAAGAGAACATGGGTAATTTATTCTGCTGTGTACAAGTTGATCAGTCCACAGTAGCTATAAGGGAGAGATTTGGAAAGTTTGTGGAAGTTCTTGAGCCAGGATGTCATTACCTGCCTTGGTTTCTTGGGCATCAGGTTGCTGGCCATCTCTCTCTTCGTTTGCAGCAATTGGACGTGCGCTGCGAGACCAAGACAAAGGTGTGTCAACTTTCATTAGTGGAGATGACTTAATCCGTAGCATTTGTGTTCATTGCATTTCTTTTAGTTGAACATTGGACACTTTCATTCTCCAAAGTTTTTTGGGACCAGAAACTGAGTCTGCAATCTCATTCCATGTTTTTTTATTTCAAGTTCTTCGTATGTGAAACTTGAAATGTTGTTTAATATACTTTTCAGGACAACGTATTTGTTAATGTCGTTGCATCTATTCAATATCGTGCTCTAGCAAACAAAGCAGATGATGCTTTCTACAAACTCAGCAACACAAGGTCTCAAATCCAGGCCTATGTCTTTGATGGTATAAACTAAATATCCCTCTTAGTAAATCAGATATATGCAACTTTTTGATACAGGTGTATTAATTTTTTTAATCAGAAGTATTTATAGCTAATTGAATTTGCCTCTTCCATTTCCGCAGTGATTAGAGCTAGTGTTCCAAAGCTGAATCTGGATGCTGCTTTTGAGCAAAAGAATGAAATTGCAAAAGCGGTGGAAGATGAGCTCGAAAAAGTAATGTGGCAAAGTGAAAGTCATAGAATACTGTGGTCTCTAAATTCAACTTGATTTTAACCAAGTTGCTTTTCGTGCTGCAGGCTATGTCTGCTTATGGTTATGAGATTGTACAAACGCTCATTGTTGACATAGAACCAGATGACCATGTGAAACGGGCAATGAATGAAATCAATGCTGGTGAGTCTCATCATCGACGATTATGCAGTTCCTTAAACGTATTTTATTGCTCTGCATATGTGATACGTTCGGTTTCAATTGTTTTACTGTATTTTCTCTATTTTTTAGCTGCAAGAATGAGGGTGGCAGCTAATGAAAAGGCAGAAGCTGAGAAGATTTTGCAAATTAAACGAGCTGAGGGTGAGGCTGAGTCAAAGTATCTCAGCGGGCTGGGTATAGCTCGCCAGCGTCAAGCGATTGTAGATGGTTTGAGAGATAGTGTGCTGGGGTTTTCCGTCAATGTTCCAGGGACGACCTCAAAGGATGTCATGGACATGGTCCTTGTCACACAGTATTTTGACACCATGAAGGAAATTGGCGCTGCCTCTAAATCCTCTGCCGTGTTTATTCCCCATGGACCTGGTGCTGTACGCGATGTTGCTTCTCAGATTCGTGATGGACTTCTTCAGGGTTCTCACCAGTAGAAGGGTTCTTCTACAAGCTTTTTGTTGCTCATCTGCAGGAACTTCTTTTGGGTCATTGCGGCGTGCTTTATTTGTTTTTAGTTTTCTTTTTGTGGTTTAATTGTTTAATATTGTATGTGAGCATTTACAATTTCTGGTGAGCGTATAATGATCTTATACAATGAGAGTATTTTTCATGTGTTTACTTGAATCATGTACAATTTCGTCTTTTACAAACGACTTAATAAGCGTTTTTATTTGTTTAATACGTGAATTTCTTCGTAGAAACATATCACAATTTTACTCTTTTTCGCAATCTTATCATTTGAATTTGCTTACAAATAGATTATTTCAGAGCCTAACAGAAAGAGAGAATCCAAATCTTGGACTTCTCTGTACGCTCATAAAATCCACTTCTCCGGACATAGACAGGAGCAACTTCTGCGATAACCCTTGCCGTATAAGAACGCCAACATTCCCGTATGTGCTAACTCGAGCCTTCGCCAGTGTAGATGGAAAAAACGAGTGCTGGGCGCCAACAGCAAGGGCACTATCGTTGGTTGAAAACCGGTGCTTCAACTCTGCTCCAAGGGCTGTGTTGCTCAGGGGGTTGACCACGGTGAAGCATGAAGCTTTTAAAGTGTCAAGCTTGTCCCTGCATATTCAAAATGTTATATATGCTGCTTTTGTGTGTGTGTGTCTATAAAATTTGTAAACATTCTCTCTTCTCCAAGCTCTCACAGGATTGCTCACATGGATAAGGAAGCAGAAGCAAAGTCGCTGTTCAAGCTGAAACCGGCACTGAATTTTGCGAATTCTCCCGCAGATATGTCGAAGGCAAGGTCGGTTCCAATGGAGCACACAGAACTACCTCCTATCACTGCAGCAAAGAGTGCAATCGGATCACACATTTTCAGCGGATTTCTTTTCAATCCGATTCCTCCAGCAATCTCGGCAACACCATTTTCGTATTGCATTTCTACCTGTCACAACATTAAAGTATTGATCTAGATTCTAGAGCAACATCAAGGTTAAAAATAGTTTAAATGGAAAAGCACGGCGAATCTCAGGATGACTATTTTAGAGTGCTAATAACTGACGGAAAATGATGGGAAGTTTTTACCCGGCCATAATCTGGCACGTTAATACTGAAAAGGGTGCTGAGTCCAGGAGCAATCAAATTAACTGCACATCAAACCGTCGCGAAAAAAAAAAAAGAGTTGCAACTCAGTTTCATACTTGACAGAAGAAGCAAATCACAGAGATCAGTCAGATTAACCTTTGCACGAGATGTCACTGATCCAGTTGAAGTTTTTGGAGTCAAACCGAATCGGCGGTTCATGAACATAGTCCTTGTAGAGAAGATCTGATAAAAACAATACAAGAAAATGCTTAGGATTGATAGAAAGGGAAAGAGAAGGCAAAGAGAAGAAGGAAGAACTGGGTGTGCAGAGTAAATTGAACCTCTGGCATCCTTGCCAATGTTGTAGCGCACACCCGTAGTGTTACTCATTGCTCGTTACTGAACTGGGTGTGCAGAGTAAAATTATATATTGTGGGATGCATTGCATGGGGATTTAGTGAGGAAGTTTCCTTGTTGGTGAGAAAGTAATACATAAAAGTACTATGTTGTGACAAGAGAGGAAATTCTGTGTGGAGGAGGGTTTGCTATAGAAGGTCGTTGGCCAAATGATGATGCTTCAAAGATGTTGACTTCAAAACGGAAAGGAAGAGCGGGAAAATAGTTGAAACTCAGGTCATTACAAATTAGATAATAAGACATCGGGTGTACGAGAAACGCTTGTAACCACTAAAATTATAAACTCTGATAATACCTATTAGAACCGCTCTTCTAAGGTTCTCATTTTGAAGGACCTACGAGGACATTTTTCATATGAGTTTTCAGATTAATCTTATGGTAGATTAAGCTATTAATTTAAATAATCTTTGTTACGTTGAAAGAGAATAATTTTGCAAGGTGATTAAATTAAAAAAAAAAATCTCAAACTTTCATATGAAAAAAGGGTTCACGCGTTCAAGAAGAATGTGATCTCAAATCTCGAAACCACACAATCTCAATTTTTTTTCGTATTTTGTAACTAATTGGGTTTGAATATTATTATAAAAGATTGGATGAGATTGGATGTGTAAAGTTATTAGGATTTTATGCAATTGAGTTTGCAGGATTTAGATATTCGATGAGGAGACTATGTTTTGCTGATGAAAGAGATTCGACATGATATGAAACATTCTTCCCTTTTCTTATTTATTTTTTTACTTATTTTTTGTTTTTGTGTAACAAAAATTATTTAAACTAATAGCTTAATAAGATTAATCTGATGGCTTATCGAAAAAAAGATTTCGCAGGTCTTCAAAATGAGTATTTTGGGAGAGCAGCTCTCTAAACCAGCCTGAGAAATGCAATGAAATTTAGCTAACCCACTGGACCATTTGGGTTTACATCACATTAGCTCGTACCAGTTTGGTTCAGGTTCGTGCGCAGACAACAATTGACATTCAAGTGGAGACCCAATAAAGTCATTATGTACTATTCTGTAATAAATAAATTTGTTTAATGACGCTATGAAGCGTCAATAACAGCTTTTTATATCATAACTAAATCAATTCCCCTATATTAAAACTAAATCAGTGACAACTTTAAAAATAGTGCAAATTGTTAAATATAAATTTCTAGTTCCATGGAAGTTTACAAAAATAAAAATTAGGTGTACAATGATTCATATATATAAACGGTGGTACTATTTGCACATTCTTTATAATATTTCACACACATCTTTATTAATATATGTTTTATTGATCATTTTCAATTCATTCTGTCCATCGATCAGAAATTAAGAATGATGTTTAGAACATATATAAACGGTGGTACGATCCGCACACCCTTTATAATATTCCACACACACCCCTCTTAATATATGTTTTATTGATCATTTTCAATTCATTCTATTTAGCGATCAGAAATTAAGAATGATGTGTAGAATGTAAAAAAAAAAAAAATGTAGATAACACTGCCCTATATAAAATACTAAACTTCCTTACAAATTTGTAGCATCTCCATGTCTTATTACAAAAAAAGTCTCAATAGAATAGGCACTAGGCAATTTCCTTGTTTCTTTGCCACCAACGCCAGCTAGGTTTTACCTTTGAGGCTTCGTTTTCTTCTCCTCCTTTTCAGGACCACCATCTCTATCCTCCTCCTCACCTTTACCTTCCTTGTTCTTCTTGTCTTAATTCTTTTTCTATTATGTTTCATCTTCTCCATCCTCGTGTTTTTCCGTCTTCTCATTCTCATCCTTCTCACCATTGCCTTTCTCCTTTTTAGAGCTGTCATGTTTTTCTCATAGAGTCGTCTCTCCCATATTAAACACAACAAATATTGGAAACCGGGAGCTTCCTCAGATCAAAATTGAAAATGTGGTGAATTTTGAAGATGATTGAGAGGAGGAAGAGTAAGCCTAAGCATTTATCCTCCAACTCTCGCCCTCTCATGTAGTTTATTAATTTCAACGGAACAAAATTGTCCTCTTAACTATCACTGGCTAGCAAACAATCATTTTAGCGAGAAATATTACTACCATTCAAATACTTACATGAAAATAAAAATAGATCAGTAATTTTAATACTCATCTTTCAAATTATACATGAGCGTCTTCACATGTAGATCAAATTTTAAGATATGAATTTTAAAATAGACCACTCTTTTCGACTTAGCACAGTTGTTTGGCTTTGTAATTTGTCACACCCTCAATAATGTGGCACCTAAAAAAAATGGTCTTATATATATAGTTCTCTTCCTCCCTTCCACTACATTAACCGGTAGGACAAGCTCGACAGCCGCCGGAAGAAGTTCAGGCTCGCCGGCTGCATAGGCTTCCGGAACATGGGGTGGCGGAAGTAGTAAAATCCCAAGGCCACGGCAACCATTTTTGGTGGCACTGCATATAAAACCACAATGATTGCCAGGCACACTCCAATGAACAACTTTGTGGCACTTGGGTCCCTCCAACTCACCAATGCTTGGGCCCTTTCTCCTTGGGTTGCAAAATAGCCCAAACGGTCTGGACCCGGGCTGCCAGCATCCGCAACCGGTCGTACCGGACCCTGGCTTGGTACAGTGTCGAATTCCTCATCAAGCTCATCCGGGTCGACCATATTCGCTTGTGAAAGCCGGATATCCGTTGCGGCTGGTACCTTCGGCCTTGTTAGTAGATTTGGTTGAGGGGCAGAGGCAAATGCACACTATTATGATTTAGGTGGCCTCAGGACTATTCATAGTTTAGAAAATATAAATGTAAAGGTCTTCTAAGGACGCTCTGAATGTTTTATACGAATTTGTATGTACCTATCAAGTGATTGATGTAATATATGCTAGTATCTTGACATGTTGTGTGGATAACACTCGACAAATTCTCAATATATCACTCATCAAGTATTTGACGAAATGTTTCAATGAATAAACGGAAATTTTTTTTTTGCCCGCTTTGCACTTTGTTAGTATCTAAAAAAATTTATACCTTTAACCTTAAAATCACTCAAAATTCGAATCTTGAATATGCCATTGTTAAGAGGTAAATGGTAATGGAGAGAAACGAATGTTTTTTGGTTGGGTTGGGGTGGGGGAGAGATTAGATTCCATTCTCACTATCCTCCCCCCCTCTTTATTTTCTTTGTTTTTTCCCCTATTTTTATAATGTATTTTTTAATGCATGCTTTGACACATCCCGTCTTAAGAAGGGCGTGACGGCCAGCACGCCCTCCTTAGGACGAGGTGTGTCACATCCCGGCCCGGAGCGGATCACTTCTCAGCCCGAGATGTGACATGCTTTTGTTTAAGACGAGTCTTGAATACCAATTAAAAATATATTCAATCCAAACGAATTTGGGATCACCACAATGGAAAAAAGGAAAACATAAGACCGATGTTTCTAGCGTAAGAATAAAATGATATAAATTAATAACACTATATGACAGTGTAACGAATTTAATATTAATAGTTGTATTGAATCGAGCATATCAACCTGAGTGGGTGTGTGGTCTCATGGTCATTGGTGGATATATGCTATGCATGGTAGTAGTAGTGTGGATAAGGCACATGATTCCAATTCCAAAGCCAAAGTATCCTTTTAGTGGAAAAGCAGGAACATTTTGAAAAGTGCTTACATCCGAATAAAATTTCAAAAACTATGTTTCGCTATTCAAGAAGAGCAACAAGTGCTATTGAAAAAATCAATTGCAAATAGTCACATGTCTAAATAATTAAAATTGAAAAATATAATTGGATACTTGTTCATTTGTGATTACATTTCAATAACACATGTTGTTGTTCTTTCAGCAGCAAAACATGGTTCTTGAAATTTCAATTTACTAAAATTGAAATATAGAAAAATACTTTACTATTTTATATAATAATAGTTATTTCTAGTTGCAAACAAATTACATTTTGACATGCATTTTTTGTATAAAATTAATAAGTTTTGTACATGTGTCAAATTGTGATTTGCATACAAGTAAACATGATAAGGACCCAAACAAGCTCCATTAGAATGTATTGACTTGAGAACTTTGCTCATTTAATTTCCTCAAATGTTAAAAAAAACGCTCTTTAATAAAAGAAAATAAAACTTCCGTGATTAAAATTTAGGGGTGTGATATCCACACACCTCATTTTACTTCTCACACACCATTTTAATTTTTAGTCGTCGAATCGGATGAATTGAAGAAGATCAATGGACAGAAATTATTAAATGGTGTGTGGAAAGTAAAATGAGGTATGTGGATAGCACACCCCAAAATTTATATATGTCTTATTGTCTCTTTAATATCCAGTCAATTTTACTCTTGGTTAAAAGATTGTAACCAAGTTTTAGATATGATTTTTAGGTATTTAGGGTGATATTAGATTGTATTTTTGTTGATTATTTTCAAGTAGTAGTAATGTTGACTATACTATTTATCTTTGTTGGATGCATTTGAATATTAAAATTTGTGGCTATCCACTAAAATTTATATTTATCTAACAATAATAAATAGAGTGATAAACATTATTATCAATTAAAAGTGACGAACAAAAATATCTCTGGAATAATATGAGTGACAAGAATTTTTGGGCGCGCATCTCAAAGAAGTTTCTCAATTCCGCATCAAGGTGATGTGCTCATCTTTGTGGAAAAATGATTTTTTTCCCTCTTAATCACTTTCTCCTTCCTTCATTTCTTACTTGAATGACTATGATTAAACCACGTTAATATCTTATATTGATTTTTTTTATACAGACAAAAAAACAAAAAACAAAGTGTAAAAGGAAGGAAAACAGACAAAAAGAGGAGGAGAGAGAATCCTATTTCATCTTTGTGACTTTTGCTGCCTGCACAACGAATCTGATCCTGCTGCATTCCTTCCTGTCTGCCTACTTAGATCCACAAGGATATTTTGAACCAAACTATAAAACTGATCGAAGAAGCGGATTAACAGCATTACGGAAAGTATGACCATCGCGCTCATAAAAGTTTCACGACAAAGGGCATTGACCACTGCCCCTTGTATTAAACGCCCGGTTACATTTAGCAGGTGCGAAATCAAAACTTTTGGATTCCGAACAAATATGATCGTAAAGCTCAAAAGTAAAAGAACATAGTAAACCAATTTACATCTTATTCGTTGAAGTTCTTACTCTGTACATTTAATATCAGCGACCATTCGCTATGATTATAAACAAGAGATATAGAGAAAGTATAAGCAACTTAATTAACAATTATCATTAGCCTTAATCATCTCATTCTCCAGCTTATTAGAACTTACGATTAACTAGCATCCCTAATGAAAATGCAACCACAGCAGTTACAACCATCCCTTTGTTTTTGCTCAACATGTCCATTGCATTCCTTACGATATTCCTACCTTTCTCCTCCCATTTCCCTATATTTTCTGTTGAAAAAAATATGTGTTCATTTCCTAATAATTTTTTAATCTCTCCATACTTTGTGCCATCGACTTTCTTTGAGTGCTCTCCTTCATCTTTGGGTCTTAAGCCTTCCACAGTTTCATTCTTCTCTACTTGAGGAGGTTCCGTGGCAGCAGCGGTGCTGCCTTGGACATTTTCATTCTCTATTTCAGGTTCTTTCTTCTGTTCTTCAACCGCTGCTACCACCTTTGGTACGGTGACATATAGAATCTCACTGTCAAATTTTCCGGTGATCTTATCGACATCTGAGTGTTGCGGAAGGGTGAAAATCTGCTCAAAATACTGGGATATCCTTTCGTTCACTTGCCTTTCTCCGCTGATTGTTATATGGCCGGCTTTGATATTCACCTCAACCCTCACCTCCTCCTTTTTAAATTCTAAGACAAGGTGATATAATTATGCACCATAAATTTATGTCAATGCATATTTGTTATTTCCTATAATTATGTGAGTACCGTGACTACTTTTTAGTAGTGGCTATTTTATGCACTTCGAATACAATTATTAGAGCATGAACACATGCAGTTGTTCTTAACGAAATGAAATGCTTTGATACCACTTACTGACACACCTCGATCTGGAATGTCCACCTGGACACCCGAATCGAGTTGTGTTGCCGACACCTAGAACGTGACAAAACCATAGAGTAATGATGATGTTGAAAGTGCGAACAAATTAAAACCTAATAACTAATACTAGAGTGTGCATTTGAGCGGGATTGCAACATTAAGAAAGCTATTAGATGCTGTAATATTGCAGTACCTGGGAGATCAACGAGAAGGTATTGACCATTGGAATCCTCCATCCAGTCTGATGAAGGAACAATCTTTACGCGCATGCGTGTGGGTGTCGATGGCCGTAATCTCTCTTCCAAATCGCTCATTGATCCTCTGATATTTGCCATATCAACGATCAACCAATACAAATTGCACTTATACCAACAACTTAATTAAGAGCTTGCCTTGTGTCTTAATTAAAATGATCAGTGTAATGCTTTGTATATAGATATGGAAACAGCACAATGATTATATATAGGAAAAATACGAGTTAGTTTTTCCTTGTGGGAAATGAATTTGGAGGCAGACATTCGATCTTGGTTATTCCAAACTTAATATTTCTGCATGGATCGATCATGCGTGTTTTGGGTTAGACTGCATGTCAAGTTTCGGGTGGTGGCTTGTTCCTTGCTTTCGTTGCGTCCAAACTCGTACCCATATCTGTTTCTGTCTTTGTGGCGGTGGTCTATAATTTGAATATTAGATAGACGTAAGAATTTTTAGATCTGTCTACACGTATCTAATCTGGAAAAATCAATTTTCATTTTTATTAAACCAAAGTTAACCATACCTGCAGGCTTCAGGCATGGTCCTAGGCTCGCTAGTTAAGTTGGTTATAATATGTGTTTTTCTTTGATCCTCAAGTTTGAGGATTAGATTTATCACTTAATTAGAATTTAAAAAAAAAATTAATGAAAAGGGTTTCAAAATTTTGAGTTTTAACCAAAAACCATCATATAACTTTATTTAATGATAAGAACAAGAGAAAGAAACAAAAAAATAAATAAAAAAACTAACTAAAGGCACGTGCGAAGAGCACCCAACCAATCCTATACAGTTGCATAACCCTTTGACATAATCCAAGCATATTTTATTCCTCAAAAATTAAAATTTCAAGTTAAAGTGGGTTCCATTCAATTCAGAACCAGATCTGGGACAATATGATTGGGAGGGAGTTAGTCAAGTGTGGGTTAGGATGGTTGGAGGTAGGGGTGGGGCAACATCATTGTGAACATCGTTGGACTCATCACCCATTTTTCTAGTAATGGTATTGAGCTATTAGCCATGCCTGACTTTAATAGCGTGAACGTTGATTTCCATTATGTTTTTTTATTTTTTTATTTTTTATATATATTTTAATTTTATCTTTTTATTGCATTATGGTGAAAGAACTTGAAAATCTAAGACGAACATCTACTGTTAAGTTTCATAAATAGTGTAGTATTGTTAAGTTTCATAAACAGTGTCGTATCGTTAAGTTTCATAAACAGTATCGTACCATTAAGTTTCATAAACCGTTTGTGTGAGGGGCGCGTAGGTCCATGCGTCATTTTTTTTTAATATTAAAATTATGTCTTTTTCATTAAGATTTAAGTTTTTTTTGTCCTTTTTATTATATTTAAGAGTTTTTCATTAAATTTTAAGTCTTTTTCATTAAATAAAGTTATAAGATAGTTTTTTTATTAAGATAAATTTAGTCCAAACCCTTTTTTCTATAGTACTTTGATCCAAGTCCAAAACTTTGAGTTGTTATTAAATTTAGTCCAATTCTAATTTTCAATTTTAATTAAATTTCTTGATTTATGCATCTTTACTCAAAATTTTAATTCAAATATTTAAATGTGAAAATCTAATCACTTTCAATTAAAAATAGTTAAAAAAAATTTATGTGTCATCATATATGATACATATACCAAAGGTTGATAAAATACTTTAACTAGAAGTACATATGGAAAAAAAAAATTAAAACTTAATCTATCTGTCTTCCATGAAAACAGTTCAAAGAAATTTCATCTTCCATACATTTATAAATATATATATATATATATATATATATATAGTACGTACAATATTGATTAGTTAACACAATTAACATGTACAAGAAAAATTGAGATACGTATAAAGAGCAGGAATAAGGAGAAACAAAATTTATTTATTATATTAATCTCAAAGTTAAATAAAAAATAATGACACACCCCGACCGCGATCAGGGCATGCTGGCCGTCACGTGGAAGTGACGTAGTCATGTGCACAGTGCGGAAGCTAAAAGAAGTAATATAAAAGTACGAATAATTTAAAAACTAGCATACACAATGTGATAAGATAAGTGCTAGCGTAAGTGAGATGCTAAATTCAGAGCATAAATCTACAGCAATCCAAATTAAAATAACTCGATAATAATGCACCCGAAGGTGACCCTACATCGGTAAGTGTCTGTCAGAAATGCCGGGACGCCCTCTGGAAAAACCACCGAAACTGCTAGACCACTAGAACCTGGAGGAGCGCAAAACAAAAGCTTGAGTGGGCAAAAACAAAACTCTTTGAAAACCATTTAATAAAATACATTCTAACCCCTCATGGTAAAACTTGTATACTTCCCAGAAAAATAAACATATATACGTATGTATAAATATGCCAATCATGCTCAAGGGTATGCCATGTCAAAGCCTCATAATGATATGCAAGTGCTCAAGTATAAACCGTATCAATAATATATCACTGGCAGCCAGAGTCCCCTAAGTGACCTGTACGGCTGAATCTAGAGCTCAAATCTCAAACTCAACACTAAACCTACCCACGAGTCGGAACCACCTATAGTGGTCTGTACAACAGGCCTGGGTGTAATACATATAAACGCTCTAGTGCTACGATCACGTGAAGGCTGTGCGAATAATCGCGGGTCACCTACAAGTCGGAAACACCTATAGTGGTCTGTACGACAGGACTGTGCACCTAACTTGGATCCAAGCTGTGCGTGTGGTGTGGGAGGTGAACAACACGTGAAGGACTGTGCACCTAACTTGGATCCAAGCTGAGCGTGTGGTGTGGGAGGTGAACAACACGTGAAGGACTGTGCCCTACTCTGGGCGGGAGCACTAACACCGGGGGTGCAGGTTATGAGCTCTCTAAGCATCTTAAACCACTACTGAATATATAAACATGAATACCACTTACCTGGCACTTACCTGTGCGTCCACAGCACCCAATATGCATATGTATATGTATGTCACTACTAATGCATGCAATGATGCATAAACGATAATAATATAGTGCATGGCATAAAACAATTAACCCTTTTTAAACAATTTTTGGGAAAATAAATGTATATAGGTATATACGGAAAACCAAAAGCCCACTCACTGGTATGTGGAAGGGTCGTAGCCCCCCTGTCTCGCGTGAGCACGCTCGTCCTCGGGATACGTGTCACCTATATGCGAAAATACTATAAAAACGTTAATTTTAAAGCACATAATCTTCCGTTCAAAATAACTTCTCATACATTGCTCAAAATGGACAATTGAATATACCAACGTGCTCTACACAACCTCAGGATCACAACCATATTTTTAGAAAAATTTTCCACCGCCGCACACGCCGGCCACGTGCAGGCACGTGCGGTGCACACAGACGGCGTCAACTGACGCCGTTAGGAATATTCCGTCAGTTTTTCCAGTTTTCCGGCGCCGACGACGTCGCCGGAGTCTCGCCGGAGAAGGTGACGGAATATTCCTGAAATGTTGCATCCCGGCCCGGGGCGGAACCACTTCCCGGGCCCACTCCACCACCGTAGCACGATATTGTCCGCTTTGGGCTTACCATTCCCTCACGGTTTTGTTTTTGGGAACTCACGAGCAACTTCCCAGTGGGTCACCCATCATGGGATTGCTCTAGCCCTCTTCTCGCTTAATTTCGGAGTTCCTACGGAACCCGAAGCCAGTGAGCTCCCAAAAGGCCTCGTGCTAGGTAGGGATGGGAATATACATTTAAGGATCACTCCCCTGGGCGATGTGGGATGTCACAATCCACCCCCTTAGGGGCCCGACGTCCTCGTCGGCACACACGCGGCCAGGGTTAGGCTCTGATACCAAATGTCACATCCCGGCCCGGGGCGGAACCACTTCCCGGGCCCGCTCCACCACCGTAGCACAATATTGTCCGCTTTGGGCTTACCATTCCCTCACGGTTTTGTTTTTGGGAACTCACGAGCAACTTCCCAGTGGGTCACCCATCATGGGATTGCTCTAGCCCTCTTCTCGCTTAACTTCGGAGTTCCTACGGAACCCGAAGCCAGTGAGCTCCCAAAAGGCCTCGTGCTAGGTAGGGATGGGAATATACATTTAAGGATCACTTCCCTAGGCGATGTGGGATGTCACAAATAATCTATAAATAAAGGGATATATATCACAATCTAATAAAAAGATAACAAAAATAAGCTAATGTGAATAATCAGTGGGTGAACTTAATACAACAAAGTGTACTAAACCCAAAAATGATTCACTATTAGACTTATGTCAAGTTTACTCTAAAAATAATTAATTAAGCATTTCTCTTTCTTTCTTCCACAAATGTATATTAAGTATCAAATTCTGGTTTTCATTAAAAATTATTGTATTCCATAAAAAAAATATAGCTACCACATTCAAGTGTTCAATTGAATCATTTCCTCCACATTTTTTCATAGCATTATAGACAATATACAAGTTAATCTGATAATTAAAAGAAATGGAATCGACAACGTTTATGAAGGTTTTATCCTTTTCTACCGTTTTTCTTTTTTGGATGTTGGCTATTAGTATCACTCTCGAGGAGTGGTCAAGAGAAATTGTATAAAATTAGAAGGGAAAGAAAAAGAAAAGAAAATAACCGAAGCTCATATAAGAAATTAGAAGGCAAATAGGAATTTCGACCGTTGAAAGGGGAGAGGGGCTCCCCTCTCTTCCCTCCCCACTTCTCATTCGCATTTCTTTGCTTCATGTAGTTAATCTAGCTCTGCATATATAACCCATCTCCCACTGCAATTCTGAAATTTTAAATTAATTCACTTCCAAAAAAACTAATTAGCCATGGAAACTTGCCCTACCCTGCCCTGAAAATTAAAGCCATTAATTCGAACCCTAGCAGTCTGGTAGGTCTGGTTTCACACCCGTAATATAGGAAAAAAAATAAACTTCTCTAAAACAAAATTGAACAAATGAAAAGGTGAGGAAATAAAGGTGAAAAACTGAGAGGAAAGATGGCAATGGAAGCTAATTACAAGCTATATGTGTTTATTTTATGTATTTTTATTATTACAATCACAATTCCGGCAACGGTGAGGGCCAACATTGCGGATTTCGACGCGCACTGGCAAGATCGAGCAAAAGAAGCGAAGCAAGCCGCCAACGAAGCCTACAATAAAAATCCTGCACAAGTCACTGAAAGTTTCAACAAGGAAGTCCATGAGTAAGTTCCTTGTCACACAAGCAACCAAACATTTTTAACCACCACCAATGTTGAATGTTTCATCGTGTACTTCAATTTGTAAAGAAATTTCATTTTTCGGTTTTGAAATTGTTCATTTACAAAGCTTTAATTCAATGGAAGCAGCACGTTTGATGCCGCGAATAAAACGAGAAGGAACTTGAAACAGAAGTACAAGGGTCCATGCCTGGCTACAAACCCTATTGATCGTTGCTGGAGATGTGATCCAAACTGGGAAACAAATCGCAAGAAGCTGGCTGATTGCGCCAAAGGATTTGGGCACAAGACGACAGGAGGCAAGGCCGGAAAAATCTATGTGGTGACTGATAACTCTGACAATGACATGGTGAACCCGAAACCAGGGACACTACGCCACGCTGTGATTCAAACTGGGCCACTTTGGATCATATTCGCTCGAGACATGAGAATAAAGCTAAGAGAAGAGCTTATGGTGACGAGTGACAAGACAATTGACGCACGAGGTGCTAATGTGCACATTGAGGATGGTGCACAAATTACACTACAGTTTGTGAAGAATGTGATCATCCATAATCTCCACATTCATGATACCAAGCCAGGAAATGGTGGCATGATTAGGGACTCGGTGAATCACTATGGACAACGCACACGCAGTGATGGTGACGGTATATCAATGTATGGAGCCTCAAACGTTTGGATAGACCATGTCTCCGGGTCAAATTGCGCAGATGGACTCATTGATGCCATCCAGGGGTCTACAGCCATCACCATATCCAACTGTCACTTCACCAATCATAATGATGTAAAAATCCATCTATTACATACAAATCGAGACCAACCCTTTGTGAAAAAAATGCTTTTTACGAACTAATGTGTCGTTTTGATTCATGATGTAGGTGATGTTATTTGGTTCAAGTGACAGCAATTCTCAGGATGAAGTGATGCAGATAACTCTGGCTTTCAACCATTTCGGTCAGGGGTTAATTCAGCGTATGCCCAGGTGCCGGTGGGGGTTTTTCCATGTTGTAAACAACGACTACACGCATTGGATTATGTACGCTATTGGTGGAAGCCAACATCCTACCATAATTAGCCAGGGCAACCGGTTCATTGCCCCGTCAAATAAAGCCAGTAAAGAGGTACATATACTACTATGAACAAATAATACTACTTGTTCCCTGAAAAAAAATTGTCAATGCTAATCTTGTTGTTATCTAGGTGACGAAGAGGACCAGTGGAGCGGAGAACGTGTGGAAATCGTGGAATTGGAGATCAGAGAACGATCTTATGATGAATGGAGCATTCTTTGTTGAATCCGGAAGCCCAATCAGGAATCTCCCAAAGGCGGATATGATCAAGGCAAAGCCTGGGACATTCGTGACTAGGCTCACGCGCTTTGCGGGTCCTCTAAAATGCATTAAAGGGAGGCCATGCTAGAGTATATGTTGAACAAACATAACAAATATGTATATAATTGTATGAATCTCAAACAGAACCCTGTTGAAAACCCATATGTTTTTGTAGAGGTAGACAGTGAAGAGTAAATAGAGAAAACACTGTCCTCTTATCGCATTCTTGCGAGGGTTGGGGGTGGAAGGGAAAAATAAATGATAGATTTGGGAAAGTAACTTTGAGGTGTATACACAGAAATGTAAATTTTGGAATGGATAAATTTCTGATTGCAGTTTATTTAATCTGTTCTTTCTAATCAAGGTACAATGATATATTTTGTGATGAAATCCTATTTCCGATAGGAATAGTTGACAATTGTCCGAATTTTCTCTTTACTTTTGTATCCATAATAGTGCGAAAAGAAGACCCGACTCCAAGGGTTATTTGATTTTCAACTTTATTTTTACAAATCGAATCTGTTTTACGCTTGTCATTGGGGAAATCATCCAAGTAAGCATCAAATAAGAAAAATATCGCCATCAAAGAATCCTCACTAACAGCTTTGGAACTGCACTGACCTTTTCGGTTGACAGCCCTTGCGGTATATCAGCTTTTAATCTCTAGAGGCACTTCAAGTTTAAGCAACTTGGATAACTGCAGCATTGATCAAAACATGTAAAAATTTATTGAAGCATCTAGTCTCATGCTCAATGCTTATTGATACACAGCGATGCAAATTTGAATGCATACAGACCTGAGAAATCTTGAGTTCGAGTTCATCCCATTCTAACGATGCATTACTTCCTTCCACAACCCCGGTTCCAGCATAGATCATCGCGCCAAGACCCTAGAATCCAGAAGGGTCAGTGCTACGAGCTCGGCGTGCTAGTGAAGACATGCCTATGTAAAAGAGTAGAAGCAAAAGAATACACTTGGTTTACCTTTTCAACTAATGCTGACCTAATGCCAACGGCAAACTCACTCTCTCCTCCACCAAACCAACCAACCGGCCCTTCATACATCCCTCGGTCTAATACTTCTGAAAGCATTTTGTGAATAGAAAGAATCTGTCTTCAGGAAAATGTTCTATTTGGACCAAAACAGCTAGATGAATCGAGTGTATAAAGCCAAAGGATTATGAGCGTATAGACAGCAAAAACAAAGTAGTAGTAAGATGCACCTGTTTCTGCAATTAAAACCCGTGCCTCCTCTGTTGGAAATCCACAAACTGCTGGACTTGGGTGAAGAGAAGACAATATTTCAAACTGAAAAGAAGCAGATAGCCTGGAAACTTCAATTCGACAAGGACTACGGGATGAAATTGAACATATCCTTCAGAAATGAAGTAGAACAATTCAATGTAGTTACCTCATCATCTTCACTTCTTAACCTGCCAGCCAATTTGGCATATAAAAGTTGGACTCGAGGGAATTTACGGATTTCTTTCTTTGGTTCAATTTGGACACTGTCACATACGTTCTACAAAACAAGAAAGTAAGTACCGCGATTTTTATTTTCGGTTAATAGATTTCAGCATTTGCACTGATTTATTCCCCACTAAACAAAATCAACAACGAAATTTTAGACATAGAAGTACCCAAAAGTAAACTTGCCTCCAATTTTCTTTGTATGCTTTCTTGTACAATCGTAAACTCAAGGTGTTCTTTCGGACCGCAAAACGAATGTTGTTGGCTTTTACTAGTTGAAACTTGTTAAAATTATGGGTGTAACAGAAATTCTCATGGATTTCACGCTCGCTTAGAAGCTGAGGTTGGATGCTTGCAAGACTATTTGTAGCAGCAGAATGAAGTATAACATCACAAAATGATTACGAAAGGTCGAGTTAAACCTGGAAAGTAACTCAAGTTCTATTTGAAGATCTTCAGGCATCGATTCACCTCTGGCTCGGGTTCCAGCCAGAGCTTCGCTGGTAATGCCAGGCCATTTTCTGTGAAACAGTTGCTCTGGCTATTTACAAGGACCATCAAAATAAAAACTCAAAACAACTTTCACAATGATCATAGAAGATAATAGATGTTGTAGTGATTGAAATTTATACTTTTCGAGACAATTACCGTGTTTCCAATAAATGCCGGTGCATTAGGCGGCTGAAGACAAAACCATGCTATGGGATCGATATCGGTAGCTGTTATTACTCTGCTGCTACGCGCGAGTACCACCTGAATTCCCAACACGAGATGATTCGTTAATGAGGGAGGGAGAGAGAAATATGAAGCAAAGGTGCGTCTCAATACTGAAAAGCTATATTAACAGCATTGAGACACACCTTTGCTTCTTTCCTGCAGCTGTGCAATACTACCATCTGCGGCCAGTACCTTAAAAAGTGCTGAGTCGCTTCTTATTTTCTGCAAAGCTCTATTAACAGCAAGATCCCAATACGTCTTGCACGGGATGTTATTGTTCCTTAACATTAGTGTCCAAGGAATATGTCTTTGAAGCTTTAAAACAACCGAAGATATCTGCATAATCACAAGAATTTATACCCACATGAAGCATGAATACCTTCGATAAATACTAAACGAAGCAGATTTAACTCAATCCAAATATCTGAACCTGGTGCAATGTAGCTTTAAGTGCATCAATTGCATCTCTCAAAGTCCACGAAAGAGCGCTGTCCCAAGCAATGGTTGTTGCTAGCATTGAACCTTCTTCAAGCTCATCAAACTCAACCTGTCATTCAGTATCTAGCAGCAGATGGTATAAATACTTACAAGAATTCAAACACGATTTATGGCTCGAAACAACTGCACGAAAGAAAATAATCATTCTACCTGAGGAAACATAAAATAAAAGTAACCAAATGCCTCCCGTTCGGAGGATATGTTGGCTCTTTCATCGAAACGGATTGCCCCATAAGCGCGAATAAGCGGACATTCTGTAGAGAGGAACATTCAGTCACGAGATGAGACAATTAGACTTGAGTTTATATAACGCATTTCACGTCCACAAGGGGGATCACGGTCAACTGTAACTATAGTTGATACCTTCAGATATCAACTATTGATATGTTGTATATATTAACGATATGGATATAACCATTGATATGTTATCGATATGTCACCAATATGTGGTACGTATGGATTTCGCTACAGCTACAGTTGAAAGTGTAACTATAAATGTGTATATAAATGGAAATGACATTGAACTTGTCGCAATATGTTTTGTTGTTTTACCTCTTTAAGGACTTCCAACGCCTGTACGAGAAGGGATGCAGATCCTGAAAGAAAACTGCAGACCCCACGCTGGCAACGCTGACCAAATTGTTCTTCGATTTATGCTGGTCATTCCCATTGGTTCTATCAATGTAAAGATTAGAAGAGTTGCTGGTTTGGCCCAATGCTACTTTGTATTAGCACTCCCTAGCCTTTGTGCAAACTAGTACATAAGTTAGCAGTAATTAACATAAATGGACTTTTAATGATTAGAGATTTACATGCAACTACGAGTCTAATTAAGGTGCCGGTATCCCAAGCCTGTTACGCGATATGAGATAAGAAAGGTAAAGCACATGGTGGCACGTGATAGTTTTTAGATACTGTCACCTTAACGTTTCAGTTGCATGTATATTTTATCACCAGATGTTAGGAGAAAATTTCTTTTTAATTTCGTCATGTTCTACGCAGTGCAGGATAAGGAAACAGGGATGTAAAAGCCCATGCTGTCCAATGCCACCCAACCACGTGGCACAAGCCCATTGCTCTGAAAACAAACCTTTTTTGACCTCTCACAGAACAGGAGCAAGTAAGAATTGAGTTTGAATGGCATCGAGCATTTTTAACATGGCTTACCTGGAGACGTATAATTCCGGAGGAAGACGGAGGCGGGTTTGAATTCAGTATGGCGGAGCTGAGCCTATCCAGAGCCAATGAAGGTGTTGGAACCGCTGGAAACGACCGCGTTTCAACGGTGCCTAAAGGGAGGTGAGAGACTCCTTGGCAACCATTCATGGAAAGTGAACACAACTGAGACCTCTGTTCACACAAGGAGAAGGATATTAGATGACATGTCAAACATACGAGAGAAGCTTATCTACGCTGAGATGCCACCAAAGCAAACCACGTACTGCTAATGCGTCTCAACTTTCTCACATGGCAGTGCGTCATTGACTGAAGATAACACCACAATAGCATCCCGCAGCATCAGGACGCATGTATGAATGTGATGGAAAAAAAGGGAATGAAGTAGGTTTACATGGTGAGAGAAATGAATGGTTTGCCTGCTGGGAACTGTGATGCTGCATTTGGCGGCTGCTTCGGGATCCATTAAACATGGCCGGGCAGCGGCAGCGGCTGCAGCAGTGGCCATGAGAGGAAGCTTTCGTCTCAACCGCCAATAGGTGATGGTGCTCTCCTCCAACGCTTTTATAGAGAGACATGGTCGGAAACGTGACACGTGAGAGCGTGTTTCTGATCCAGTCTTAGGACTAGAAAATGTTCGCCTCTTTTTTATAAACGGCAAATAAAGACAGAAAATATGCACAAATAGAATCGGCTTACAAAATTATAAGTAAATTAGAAATCACAATGTTTTGACAAGGAGGCAAATTCGAACTTTGTGCAAGAGACAAACACAATACTTCTGATCAACTGACTTAACTCACATTTACATAATGTTTTACGTCTTAATGTTCCTCGGGTTACAATTTTAATTAAAAATTTGCAACCAATTTCACTTGTGTATATTTCCTCAAAACGATAGGGTCTTTGTAATTAAGAAATATATAATAATACATCTGATTCATTTATATCCAATCAACCTCAATTATTCACACCATAGAGGGTGCGATGGGGCATGGAGAATAGTTGTATTAATTTTTCACGGAATTACGTAGCATTCTGTCTAATCTAATAAAGACTTGTTTAAAAATATTTTTAAAATGATTGAAAATATTTTTAGTAAAATTATTTTTGAAACCAATCATTAATAAAAATGCAAATATTCTTGGATTCCAAAATTTTTTTTTTTCAGAAGCGCTTTTAATCATTTTAAAAGCGATTCTAAACAAACCCTAAGACTACACGATCATAGGGATTTTTAATCCACCTCATTCAAGTGCCAATATACAACAAACAACACAAATAAATTCATCTATTAACAAAAAATGATATTCCAACAACACTTTGAGGGGAAGAATCCTAACTCGTAAGACCTACTCTTCCCCCAAACCAAGTCCACCAATTCGCTGCCGCCTCCTGTCAAAAACTGCTTTGAAAGAGTCGCGTTCTGCACGAAGTTGCTCTTGGAATGCTTTCTGCTTCTTTGATTCACCACTGCTAAGCCTACTATGGGTGGTAGAGTTCTCTTCTTCGGGTAACGGATTGGACTTCTGCAGGTGTCGGAAGTTAAAAAAGCTAATGAGACCATTTTGCTGGCCCTATGAAGGAATAGATACAACACATAGATGGTGCATACACGAATACCACAAGAACCGTACTCTCAACGGAGGGTGAACCTTGTATATCAACAACTAGCCCAGCAGAAAAGAAAGTACCATAACAAAGACGAAGCTACATCTAATTACCATGTCCAACTTTATAATTTATATCATGAAAGGCATAATGTAGTGGTTTTATGATAGCGAAGTAACACTAACCAAGTTGTATCCAGAACCTGGTCCAATGACCAAAGACATGACATTCGCCTTCTTTGCTGCTGCTATTGAAAACCCAGTATAGCCAACCTGGAGGAAGGAAGAGTAAGGTTGCAACAACTAAGAAATATATACATAAACACCACTATAACCGTGATATCTTTCTTCTAAAGGTAAGTTAACAATCAATTCTTGCACTGAAAAGTAACTGTAAAACGACAAGTCATGATCTAAAATACACACACACACACACACACACACACACACACACACACACACACATATATATCAACTAAGCATATACATCAGTTGAGTGATAGGACCAGAAAATACATACCTGATCACTCCAGCACACGGACTTTGCTTCCTTGCGATAAGCGTTAATCAGTCCAGAAAGAGCATTAAACTTGCCCTTCACACCTTCAGCTTTTTCAGTATCATCATCATATAATACTTCTGACCATTTACTCCTACCTAGTTCTTTCACTTCCACAGTTGGATGGTCTTCTTCAGCGTCCAAGCTCTTCCCACCGTGCGAAGAGCCTAAAGATTTAAGATTTACCATACGTGATTAACTCAAATCACCCCTCACATAATTACTAATACGAAAGAATTATAAGCCAAAAATACCAATATGAGCATCATCTTCAGCAGGGGGTGCTATGATCTTTTCAGGCTTTCTTTCTTCCAATCCCGGTGAACCATCATTATCAGCATCTTCTGTATCCATGTCCACCTGGTAGATATCATATGGATTCATATCAAACCAAAATTAAAATAGATCTGGATCCAAAATATGCAGTAATTATCTCCTAAGTCATCGGCGAGCACAGTAACTCACTCACTATCCATTGGATTAAAATCAACTGACATTTATCTACCAAAAGAAAAGGTCTATTGGGATTTAGTGACCAGCCATTAGAGTTTAATCAATGATTGGTGGTACAACTCTAAGTTCTCTAATGAGTAAGCAATCAAGTTGATACATATCCACAGGGTGTTCCAACCACACAATGTGAACGCACGACAACCACAACACTGTTGATCACGTTGACTTCACAGAATGGTCAACATGGTCAATCCTGTGTGGTAATATGTTTGGTACACATATATATACAATTTCTTTTTGCCTTAGGAATACAGGCATATCTGATGCCAGAGAACTCTTCTTGTTCAAAATAAAAGAAAAGCAAAAGAGTCGAATGTGATTTAACTTACTTCTTGAATGTCACTTTCCTTCAAGCTATCTCCATGGAATAATGACTGTCAAGCCGGCAATACACAATGTCAAACAAAAGCCCATAAGCAAATATAAGTGATAACATAATCCCAGGTGTGTGTTACTTTCACTGGCCCTTGTAGTGGTACCGCCCCCTATTAATTCCTGGCTTTGAATCCTCAAGTAGTTTCGGACCCCAAAAGGGAAGGAGTTGGAGGTGTATAGCTCTCAGGGGCTCAAAAGAAAATAGTTTCCTTTACATTCACAAGTTAATGGCCATCCTAACTTTCTAGCCCAAAAACTAATGGTCATCCTATAACTGATCAATGTAAAAGCATTAACTCGACCTCCACGTTCAACATTTTACACTTACAACTGATGTCTGCTTTGAACTCCTCCATCCTAACCTAAGGTGAGAGCTAAATTTAAATGACAACAAACCTTGGTGTCCAATTGCAAGTATAGGGTTGGAGCTTCCTCCCATTGTCCAGCAATCTTCTCTATGTCATCTTGGGTGAAGCCGTGCACATTCCTAGCTGCGCAACCCTGAAATTAACAAAAATATATATGAAAAAAAAAAAAAAAAACCTTCCAACTTTATGTCTAATGTTAGCCTTGCTTTCAAGAAAGAGAATTATCATAAAACACACATACGATACTCACCGCAGGATCCTTATATGGAGCTTCTAGTATATAAACTTCATACCCCGAACTCTGAAAAGAAGACAAAGAACAATGAGTGAACCAGAAAATAGACAATCGAGAAGTCACTATTATATGATCAACCACCATTATTATGATTTTTTGGGCCATAACTCAGCCCCCATTGAATATAAGAAAAATAACCAATCGTGCAAATATTAGTAGTACAAGAGGAAAATTGCTTCCCGATGGAAAATTAAACGAAATTTCGTGCATGGTGCCATTGATAAAAAAAGCACCACTAAACTTGACATCCAGACCAAATAAATGAAAACAAAAGTGAGTATACCTAAATCCCCTCCTTACAACCTAGTAAGTAGGTAAGGCCAAAAGAAACCCTACTCTGGAAGTCCAAACTACAGCCACATGTAATTAGCCCCATGACTAAACACAATGTCCGTAGTTGGCACATATTCAAATAGGTTATAAAGCCCAAAACAATACAGGCTGGAGAACTGGCGCTTGTTTAGACAGGGCAACAAAATACCTCCTCTCATCCACCTACTTTAAAAAATTTTAAACTAAAACATAAAATCACATACTACAGCATCACAGAATTGCTAATCTAGGATATTGGCACACTAGCAAACTTCTCACTAGCTCTCTAATCTACATTGGATAAGGTCTATGAAAGATGAAGCCACTACTGGGTTTCTCATGAAAATGCTGCGTGACAAAAATAGTTGACACTTACAGAACACATGGCAGAGGTTGTGAGAAAGAGAGAAATGAGGTTATACCTTTGCAATTGCCCAAAACTGAGCAAAATCAGCTACCCGCAGATTGCGGTCATCCACTAAGACGAAGCACACATACCACCAACAAAAGGGTCAATTTCCATACAAAACTGCATCTGTAGTTAGTTAAAATGAAGGCAGTGCATTGGCACTGCATCATCCCTTGTTCGACAACGATACCAGATTATTTTGCTTACTAAATTTACCGGCAAGCCAGTACGGTAATCTTATCATTTTAATGCCTCAGGACTAGAAAAATTTTAAGATAACGAAAAACAAGTTTGAAATCCTATCTAAAAAACACTTCAGGTAGGTCATTTATGCACCCATGTTTTAGAGGAGAAATATGTCTCAGAGCTGATCGCTTACCACCAGCCAGTGTGAGCTACTGAAATCAAAGCACACACTGCCTAAACATCATTTGACCAAAAAACTGTCACCATATTTTACACAAAATTCGCAAGTAATTCCATCGGAAATCTCAGAAATTCCCAAGCCTTTATAAATAGCTACATAGCAAAGAAGAAAAGGAGCAAAGTAGAGATATAAAGTTTGATGTTTTCTGTCATTGGTCAGCAAAGTAAAGGGAAGGCATACCAATTATGAAGGTGAAAACACCCTCCTCAAGGGTCTTCTTAAATGCCTTCAGCATACTCAACCTATAAGCCTGTGGAGAAGACATGACAGCATCAAGGGTTTGATACCATTTTTATATGAATGGAATATAGAATTCTTAAATCATTCTATCCCTAGGCATGTCAAAATCATAATTGGCTCCAAAAGAAAAAAAAAATTAAGAAGAAAATAATACAAGAGGTAAATAAATAACCGACATCTACCACCCAATGCCCAACCCCAGCCCCCCAAACTAAAGAAGTTCCACAAGGATTTAAGACAACTAAATGCTACAATTGACTGTTTGCACACAGAAAGATTAAACGTATCAAAAATTGAAGTGGTAGTTTACTGGATTAACAAATGAAACTGCAAATTTTTTTTTTTTCTGTTTGATCACTTGAAAGGTATTGCCTAAACTACAAAAAACGAGCTGACTATTTTTATTCTAGATGTCAAAGCAGGAAGGTTGATGCAATCAAATTCTATAGCAGCCTTTTTATTCAGCAGTGACCAAGACAAAGTCCCACGGCTAATTTTGCCTGACGCGACGGAATTTACATAACCACCTCCCAACCCTTGTAAATCTCAACATGAAAGACATTCAAATCAAACCAAATTTCTATTAGTTTTGAATATTTTGAACTGTTTTACCTCCTCCATTTCAGGTTCATAACAATACTCCATCACCTTCTTCACCACTCGCTTCTTGCCTCTAGCTGAACTTGAAGATTTTGAAACATCACTTTCCTCAACCTTTAGTATAAAACATAAAACTTCAGTTAAAATTCTCTCAAGTGCCCAAAGAACACTAAAGACAACCCTGAGAAAGTAATAGGAGGCAAAAGAAGAGACAAGAAAAAAAAAACCTTTTCTACTTCTGTCATAAAATAATCATCCATGGAATGGATTCGTGGAGCATTACCACCATTTTCAACCTCTAGGTCGCGCAACATCTTTGCTAAGTAGCTCTTTCCACTACCTGATATCAAATACATTATAAGATTTCCAGAATACGGTCGAAGGTGAAAAAGAACTCTAAAAGTAAGTGGGATGGGTGGGGTTCCGTAATTTTCAGCTCAATTTTGAAGGGGTAAGTATGAAAATTGATCAGGCACTAATCTAAATATTATTTGCTTCTCTATTAGACTGGCAGACCACTATGATTAAAGTTAACATTTTAGGGACTAAAGAAAAGCAATGTGCACTTATGAAAAATGAATAAACACCACCTGCACATATTACAAATACAAAATTTGGTACCTGGAAGCCCTCTTAGGATTATCACAAAATGATCTGGACGAGTGACTCTATGTGGCTGCTTAAATAAGCGTGTAGCATCAATAACTTTTGGCTTATCCAAAGATGACTGCTTTCGTGGAAATGGATACCCATCTCCTATGCACTGCTTTGATGATATTTGATGAGCAGCATGAGACTGCTTCGGAATTACAAAAGGAAAATTAAAAAACAAAAAAACAAAATTCATTAGAAGGCTAGAAGCCTAATTGAAAATTGCAACCCAACAACAATGCAAGATAAACCATAAAAGCATACAAGGAAGCAACTATACCTCCATAATATAGCCAGTAGAAGCATGTGAAAATGGCTTACTATGAAAATAAGGCTGTGCCGGAGAGTGGGATTCAGGATATGGTGGATAGGCTGAAGACATCATTGGTGAGGAACCAAAGGAAACCGGAAACAATGAAGGCGGCGATTTTGATGGCGGATCCATTGGAAGAGGAGGTGGTGGAGTGGTGGGAAGAGGAGGCTGCCCACTGAATGACCGAGAAGCCCGCATATGACCTGCATTTTCAGAAACAAATCTACCACTAGCAGGGGGCGAAAAGTAGCCTCCGTTTTCATTCGTAATCGGAGTGCCATGTGGAGGAACTCCAGGCATATGTTGCTGCCCAAGTGACTGTCTCACATCATGCCGCTGCATTCCATAGGGTTGTGGTAGCTGATTGGTATGATCATAGTATGGTACATTAACATGGGAATGTTGTGATTCATTCACAGGCCTAGAATCTTTACTTTGATCAGCATACCTATTCGTTTCGCCATTCGGGATGGTATTACTATCCGAAATTGAACCCGCCCCACCGTGATCACGAATCAGCTTCAATCTCCGCTCATTATCTGATGAAAAGCTCGCATTGTTCAGGTTAAACTCGGTCTTTAAACCCAAACCATCGACTCTCGGCCTTTTGAAGTTCCTATCACCTTCACTAACGTACGCATTGCCACCATATTCATACGGTGGCGGACCTTGCGGCGGCGGCGCCAACGCCAAACCGTCTCTATACGGAAATTTCCCATATGGGTCTACGTCAAAATTAGCGGTTCTCTTCCACGGCCTGGGATTTTCAAACCCATTCGAATTACCCACGAGCGGGCTCTGAGTACCCATATACGGATCAAAAACGGGTCTTTGGAAAGGGTGACCCGAATCGTTAGGGAAGATCGGGTTTTGATTGAAGGGTGGATGCGGAGGGCAAAAGGGGAAGTGAGAAAATGAGCAAATAGGGCAGAGGGTACCTGGGATTGGAGGCCTAGGCCGCCATTGTTGGTGTTGAGGGTCCATGACGAGCTCTGATTTGAGGATCGTCGGAAACTGTGGCCCAGCTGAAAAGAATTGAAAATTAGGGTTTCGATTTTGCGAATTTGGGGATGTCAGGGTTCGAATCACCCAACGGAGAAGAGAAGAAAAGAAGCATCGCCTGAATATTCCAGAAGAAACATAAAGCTGAAAAATTGGTTCGAACTTGCAGCTGCTTGTCAGAGGGAGAGGAAAAGCAGTTAAAACAAAGAAAATTAATTAAAAGTGCTTCAAAATTTTGAATTTTAACGGTGAAGGTAAAATAAAAAGTAAAATAGATAGTATTAGAATTGATTTTCTAGTGTAAAATGTGATTTTTCGTTAAAATGAATAGCATAGGAAGTTTTTCGTTAAAGTTTCCTAAAAAGAATTCTGGTACAACCAACATTTTTGTCTCAAACACTTGCGACATTTTCTAATGGAAACAGCACATGAGAACTGAGAAGCCATTCCCCATGAAACCCTTGTGTTTGTAGAATACAGTAGGGCTGGGCACGGGCCGGGCCCAATTTTGAAAGGACCGGACCGGATCCAAGTTTAAAAGAAACGGGTCGAGTCAGAGCGGGTACAACAAATTTTAATACAGAAACCGGACCTACCTTGGCTCGTTTGAAACGGGCTGGGTCCACGGGTCATTTTCTTTTCTTTTTTTTCTTCTTCTTCGTCGATCGAGTCAAGAGCGCTTGGAATCAACCAAGTTGCACCAGATTGAGCGGTCACCAGCCGAGTTTGGAGCCTCGTGACTCGTGTGGTGGTTGTTATGATGTCGACGCAGTTGATTCAAGGGGTGGGAGGGAGAAAGAGAACCCTAAAGTTCTCTAGATGTTGTCGAGGACTCAAGGAGGACAATCGAGGTTACTGGGCCATCGTGGTGGTCACCAAGGCCCAGACTCACGATAGTGGTGATGTCAGGGTGGTGGAGGAGATGACCAACGGAGAGTGGTTAAGTGTGGGTGAAAGAATCGTGGAGGGGACGATGCACGTGAGATAAAATCGATCGAGGACTCGAGTGACAAACAGAGATGAGACATGGCGTACTAACAGTTAATAACGTCTACGACGGTGATGGGGTGGTGATGGTCGCAACGCGCAACAATGGTGGTGAATCGATGGTGGTCTGCGTTCGGTGATGTCGGCCAGGAAAGATAGGAGTGGGAATTAATTAGGGACCGCTAGGTCAGGAGAAGAGAAACAAATCCTATCCATATTCCCTTCATTCCATTTTAGAAATGGGTAGGGTAGGCCCCGTGCTTCTATAGAATGGACTCGCCCCACCCCGTAAATACCACCGCCCCATCCCGTTTCTTCTTTAAAAAAATTAGACCCGGCTCGTACCCACCTCGATCCGCGGTTCCTAGACCCGTTTGCTTACCCCTAGAATAGAGATCCTCTCCTCATGTCACGGATTGGATCTAGATCAAGAAATTTGGACCACTTATTTCAAATTTTACAGCTTTTATTAGCCCATTTCACTACCCCACTCATGCAATCCAAGAGTCTAGATATATTTCCCTCTTTTAAACGATCCGGATTTCTGATATGTCCAGCTTCATACTGCGAGATCTGAAGAGAATCTGAATTCATGTTTGTAAACACTTTTTTTTTATGTTTTTAATATAAATGTGTAGCAATTGTTATTAAAATTCCAAGATTTTTCTTTCTTACAAGAAAATACTTTTACCATTCATAAGCATTTTTAGTTTTTCTTGCAAATAATGTAGATCGGCTATCAAAGAACCTTTTTTTGACCTTTTGCATAAGCAATTCCAAACATGTTTTAAAACATTACAACATTGTTATGTCTTTTAACTCAATCAATGCCTAAAATATACACAGGAGAGACATTTTTGTTGTTGAAAATATGCTTGAGGTTGTGAACAAATACGATGTATGGGTTGAGTAGTTGAGGAGAATTATTGCATACAAGAAGGTGGGAGGAGAAAGTAGGGTAGTCAGAATTTTTAATTTTTAATGGTAGATTTTGTCGTTTGACATAAAATATCTATGATAATCAAATTTGATCATTTAGTATAGGAGAAATTAGGTTCTAATCTCTCCTTTTGCTACTCTATGATTAAAACCTTATTCGTTTTTAATTTTTTATCAAGACCCTTGGGTATTAATAACCTCATTAATTATTTCAATAACAAAATATTTTTACCTAAAAATATTCATTAGTGTTAAAAATGTTACAATTAGTATATTTATATTTATGGCTAAATTTTTTATCATATATTTTTATTTTTAGTTTGTACCCATTTTTTATTTGCAAACCTTTTTTAATTTGTTCAAATTTTCTTTTCAGTTTTAATTTGTACCAATATATTAATTTCTTTTTGTGCCCACATTTTTTAAAGTTTTATTTGTATTTGTGCCATGTGTTTATTGTGACAGCCCGTTTCGGAATTTTTAAAACGTACGCGTGAAAAGACGATTTTGCCCCTAGTGTGATATTTTCATTGTGTGGTCTTTTTTGGGGTTTTGTTGGCAGGTTTTGGGCCACACACACACTCTCCCACACCCCACACCCTTTTCCCCTGCCCCGCACCCTATCCCGTGCTCCCTCTCTTTCTTCATTTCCACCCAATACGTACGGACACAATCAAAAACCCATCAAATCTTCACAGATCGAAGAAACAAGTTACATATTCATGCTCGTGAGGTTCGTAAGAGTCTAACCATACCCATTTCAGGCAAGGATACATTCGTTTTCATGTCGAACTCGGGATACCCGATTTTTGTCACTGTTCATGCTCACGTAAATTCTTATGTTTTTGGGAATTTCAAGCTTGTAGGAAGCTTGGTGAGGTCCTTAGGAGGCTCGGGGTGGTTCGTTTGAGGGTTTTGGACGTCGGGATCGTGAGTTTCAAGGTTGGCCGGAGTTGGTGGTGTTTTCCTGACGAGATTTCGTGGATTTTAGCACTTGAAAGTGGTATGAACTTGTTCCTCTCGTTCTAAGCTTCAATTTGGTACCAATTTTGTGAAATTTGGTTGAAAAATGAAGAAGATATCACGATTTGAAATTTTTCCGATTTTCCGGCGTCGGAGCCTCGCCGGAGAAGACGACGGAATATTCCGTCAAAACTGACGGAATATTCCTAACGGCGTTAACGGAATCCGTTAAAGTTAACGGAATATTCCTGACGGCGTTAACTGACGCCGTCAGTGTGTCAGGCACGTGCCTGCGCGTGGTCGGCGCATGTGGCCGTGCCTTGGCCGGCGTGCGGGGGCGCGTGTGACGGTGAAATTTTTTTCTAAAAATATGGGAATGTTCCTGAGGTCGAGTAGATCACATTGGTGTATTCATACACCCCATTTGAGCAATGTATGAAAAGTTATTTCTTAAGGTTGGTTATGTGCTTTAAAATTAACGTTTTTGTAGTTGTTTCGCATATAGGTGAGACGTATCCCGAGGACGAGCGTGGTCACTCGAGGTAAGGGGGTTACAACCCTTCTACATACCAGTGAGTGGTCTTTTGGTTTTCCGTATATACCTATATACTCATGTTTTCCCAGAAATTGATTTGAAACGTTTATTCATTTATATGCCATGTTTATTGTTTGCCATCATTTATGCATTATTAGTTGCATATATATATATATATATATATGTTGGGCGCTGCGGACGTGCAGGTAAGTGCCAGGTGAGTATGATTTACATTTACGTTCAGTAATGATTCTAGATACATAGAGAGCTCATAACCTGCACCCCGGTGTTAGTGCTCCCGCCCAGAGTTGGGCACAGTCCTTCACGTGATGTTCACCTCCCGCACCACACGCTCATCTTGGATCCAAGTTAGGTGCACAGTCCTGTCATACGGACCACTTTAGGTGGTTCCGACTCATAGGTGACTCGCGATTATTCGCCCAGCCTTCACGTGATCGTAGCACTTGAGCGTACTTATGTTACACCCAGGCCTGTCGTACAGACCACTTTAGGTGGTTCCGACTCGTGTGCAGGTATAGTTAGTGAGATGGAGATTTGAGCTCTAGATTCAGCCGTACAGGTCATGTTAGGTGACTTCGGCTGACAGATTTCAGAGTATTGGATTTGGCATTTCCTGAGCACTTGCATTTTACTTCGAGGCATTTGGCATGGCATTTTTCCTGAGCATGACTTATATATATTTATGTATACTATGTTTCTGGGAAGTATACGGGTTTTACGGCGAGGGATTAGAACTTGTTTTGAAATGGTTTTTGAAAAGCTTTGTTTTTGCCCACTCACGCTTTTGTTTTGCGCCCCTCCAGGTTCTAGTTGGCTAGCACGTTTGGTGGCTTCCCCGAGGATTTTCCCGGCATATCTGACAGACTGTCACCAGTGTAGGACCACCTTCGGGTGTACTTTTGTTGTGTCGTTTGCTCCCGGACTGCATTAGGTCTTCGTGCTCTGAAATTTGTTTTCACACTTTGCTTGCACATGTATGTTGTTACCTTGTGTTAAGCCGTTGATTTTTATTTATTCGTATTATTTTTCTTTGATTATTATTATTTTATTAGCTTCCGCACTGTGCACATGGCTACGTCACTTCTACGTGACAGCCAGCATGCCCTGATCTCGATCGGGGTGTGTCATTTATCGTCACGTGACATTGTATAATTAATTAATGATAGAAAAATTACATATGGTACATTTATGTTTTATGGCAAAACCTTGTATCATATATTTATATTTTTAGTTTGTACCCACTTTTAATTTGCAACCTTTTTTTTTTAATTTGTAGTATTTTATTTTTAGTTTTAATTTGTACCCATGTATTAATTTCTTTTTGCGCCCATATTTTTTAAAATTTCATTTGTAGTCATAATTTTTTAATCTTTTATTTCTACCCTAATTATATTTATAATGTACCCATGCTTCTTTATTAATGAACCGCTTTGTTATATGTGAAATGTACCAATTTTTTTAACACTATGGATGCATTCTTTTGCCATTTATTATTTCTTAATGTTACATAATTTTTATCCATTTATTCAATTAAAATGTTTGAATTTTTTTATAGTAGCTGTTTCTAATAGTATTATAATGAGGGATTTTAATTTATAGGATTATAAATCTCATAAAATATCAAACAATTAATGTCAAAACTATAAAAATATAAATAGTAATAGTAATATAATAAGGTGTACAAAGTCAAACTTTGAAAACCATTAAGGTTTTAGTCAAAGAGTGTTAGAGATTAGGACAACATCCAAAGTATCCCTTAAATTTATAGGATTATAAATCTCATAAAATATCAAAAAATTAATGTCAAAACTATAAAAATATAAATATTAATAGTAATATAATGAGATGTACAAATCAAGGGACTTTGATCAAACTTTGAAAACCATTAAGGTTTTAGTTAAAGAGTGTTAAATATTAGGGACCGCATCCAAAGTATCCCTTTAGTATAATAAGAGACGAAATTAATAAGTCCTTAGTGTTCTCCAAAGTTTATGCGAGTCGACTCCAAATATAATTCACGAACCAAACGGATTCTAAATTAATTGGGGGTTGTTAATTATCTGCCCAAAGTTTTGTGAATAAACGTAGACCCTAATGGTTAATCCTCGAAGGCCCAAAATTATATGGGAGTTGGTATCGGCACAAGGGCATTAGCGAGTTCTCTCTCCTAAACCCTAAACCTTAATCTCCGGGTTGAACAGTAAAATCCTCTATGCAAGTAGCACACTGTTAACAAGGCCTGCAGGCAATCAAGTTGCAGCTAGGAGAAGCCGCAGATACTAGGTTTGGCCGTCCATGAACTAACGTCCTTTGCAACATCATGATCTTCATGTTGTTTTTGCGCGTTAATGTTAATCCAACGGCTCTCGATTGCCGTAAGGAGCCGCAGTATGGTTGGAGCGACGTCGCGTATGAGAATTGGAAGATATCGATGGCGGTTTGAGGAGGAGGATTGTTGTAGTAGTACGATAGTAGTAACTCTCGGTCGACATGTTTGAACCCTAGCTAATTTGTCTTACAGGGGCAGAGGCATCGTATATATGGCCAATTTTGAACACAAGTTACATGATGCAAAAACAAAGGACACAAGTGACTTGTCTGCAGCCACTGAACAAAGCCCTCCATACAAATCACGCATGACTTAGCATCCAAATCATTAGAGATTCTCACTTTCTGCAAATTCTCATTCGCCCATTTTGTCGCCGGAATAGGACGGTCATTGTATGCATCCATGGATATTCCCTTGTAGCCTCATCAAACATGTCACTGTCATCGTCACTAACATTACAAGTCACATCATATATGTCCACAAGAATAGGAACCCTACAGACCGCTGATTTAACCACCCAAAAAATCTTCCAACTAATCGAGGGGTGCTCACTCTCTGGGACATCCATGCTTGAAAGAGCCACAATCGAGAGGGTTTTATAACTTGTTCTGTGACATTCATCATCAGATAATATTTCGGTCCGGTGGACCAAAACTAGTTCTTCGGTTTCGAGTTGAATATATTGTTCTTGAAGAGAGTTGTAAAGATCATCATCGTCATCTTGACCAGCAGCAATATTCCAACGGATTTCGCTCTTAAAAAATTTGAACTTGATCGAAAGCTTGCTGTCTGGAAACCGGGATAAGTTGATGATGGGCTGAGTTGTCTGCCTGACATGGCTACGATAGTGTCTAATACTGGTTGACATGGTTTTAGGTTAGTGAAAAAATGAAGGAACTTGCAACATTATTTGTAAGGTCTAAAGGACGGTGCTACTGAGCCTAAAGCGAGTAATGCTAGAGACTTGAGTAGCAAGTTTCCTTTTTTATTTTTAGGTATTTTCTCCACAAGTTTCTTTTTCTATTTATTTACTTTTTCCATATTTGGATTGTAGATTATGGTACGCGTTAGTTAATAAAAATGAAATGAAATTAATCATTTTTTATTTATTTTCTTTTCCATATTTGGGTTGTAGATTAGCTCTAAGCAAATGGCATGTCAAGATAATACTCATCCTAATCCCAAACCTCATATATGGTAGATAGGATGTTGCATATTAGAAGGAATGTGTAACAAAAACACTATGAAAAGATAATTAATCTTCCAATAATGCAAACTTTGAGGATTTTGAATTAATTAATTAATAATTCATATATTAACAAGTTTAAAAGCAAAAGGGCAGAAGATATGCCTGATCTTAACAAAAAAAAAAGGGAAATTAGGTTGTAGTTAAGATGCTTTAATCTAATTACACAAGTTGCGTCCATTTTACTCGAATTTCTAACAATTCCTAGTCCTTGTACCATTTCGACTGTGAAAAAAATTAAAATAATCCTTGTCCCAGTCGATTTAGGACTACGTGGTATACACACACACACACACACATGTATATATACATACTTTGTCATCCCATATAGCTCACACAACCCCTCTATATTTTCCCATTTTATTGCCCAACGTTACTATTAATTCATACTTAGAAGCATGTCGATATACACCCTAGTCAGCCAAAGAAGAAACCCCTACATTAACCAACCCCAGCTTCCACCAGATGTGCTTCCGATCAACTTTAAATTTTACAAGTTACTCGCACACGTAGGATCTTTGATTAATGAAGATGGTATTGATCTTGCTTCAGTAATAGTTATACAACCAACCCTTGTAACGCAAGAAACCATTAATGTCGATCGTACTACGCTATTGTCTGATTCTACTAGAGCGCTCGTGGGTGACGTGCTTTCCAGCATGCTCGTTCCTGAACACGAACTTCCAGCAATTACTGAAGAAGTATTCCACAAACTTGCTGGATTATCAAGTTCGAACTTGAGCAATGCTAACAACACCACCATGCTGCCTATTTTTGTGGGCATAATTGATGCGAATTTGCTGATGCACTCTGTCGGTAGTGATCCCATTACCTCGCTGGCCGATTGGGTTGCGATGTCGTCGATGCAAACGTACGAGGCCAGACCTATTCCTGCAGATGAATCGTCCATTGAGAATTTGGAGAAAGTGATATTTGGTGAAGAAGGTACGAGAGAGCAGCAGCAAACATCGTGTGTTATTTGCATGGAGGACTTTGAGGATGGTGTTCAAGTTAGTCGCTTGCCTTGCTCGCACTTTTATCATGAAGATTGTATTGGTCAGTGGTTGAAGACTAGTCACTTGTGTCCCTTGTGCCGATACCCAATGCCTCATGCTTAAACTTGACTTGTAAATGAGTGCTCTTAAGTTCAAATATCACGAATAGAAGTTCGTAATTAATTTAGTGTAAATATATCGTTATATATAGAAAACGAATATTATACGTTTTGCTTTTGCAATTAAAGAATCTTATGTCGTTGCTTCAATACTATACATAACTTCTATTTACTTTTTGAATACGATTTTGTATCCAATAAATTAAGAAGGAAATTATTGAGTTTAGCGGATCGGCACAAGGGACACAAGTGCATAACCCTAAAACCCTAAAATAGTATCAGAAATAAGATTGGACAACAAGAATAGGTAAACTCTTCAATCCAAATATCGAATTAAACAAACCAAATAGTGAGATTAAGGAGGGTTTTTGCTTTCACAATATACGATTAGGATTTCATTAATTAACACGAATAAATTATAAAAAGTGTCAATTGAGTACGTTACTTTAATGACAAGAAATTGATCTGTAGTAAAATTGTGGCATGGCTACCACAAGCACTATCGTACAATCCCCTGGTTTTTTTTTTTAGCAGCAGAAACAGAGACGGATCAAGTTCTCTCCTTTCAGTTGTAAATTCAAAGACCCCGTCGGAGTTCTGGCAACTTCGTTTCTCTCCTCACCTTCTAAAAATCCCCCATCTTCTGATCCTTCTTCTTCTTATCAATGACCGGAAGTAGAAGCAAAGACCCGAAACCCAATTCAGAACCCGACCCAGCTCCCAAAAAAGCCAGGGGGTTGACCATTGAAGGGTACCCAATTGAAGGTTTGTCCATTGGCGGCCATGAAACCTGCATAATCTTCCCAACTCTCAACCTTTCCTTTGATATTGGTCGCTGCCCGCAGCGTGCTATCTCCCAGGAATTCCTCTTCATCTCCCATGCCCACATGGATCACATTGTATGCACTTCTTTTAATAATTTGCAATTTGGGTTTTGCTAATTACCTGTTTTTATTGATGGGTTTTTGTTTTATTTTTTTTTACTTGATGGATGATGAATGATGAATGATGAATTTGGTTTTCCATTGACTTGCTGGTGTTGGGAATTTTTTATTATGTACTTGTGATGGTGAAAGATTTTAGCTTTTCTATCTAAAGTTAACTTCTTTTAGCCGTTGAAGTACTTGAACGATATAAAGTGACAAGATTTTGCGCTTCTTCGTCGATTTGGTGTTGTTTTCAATTCGATACAAGTATATATATTGTATTGAGTAAGCATTTGGTAAATGAGAGATTGGTAATGCTGCTAAATGATATATACAGCGTGGTTGTTTTCGATTCTTTTATGCACAAAAACATGATAATTTGAGGAGTTCAATGGAATTTTCCAAGCTTAAACTATCTTAAATACTTGATCAAATATAATGGAAACTTTTAAAGAGTTTGCATGTATGGGAAAATTCGTTAGCAGAAATCCAAAGACATCTGATGGTTACAGGGCATTGTATTGTTAATTGGTTGAAGAGGGGATATTTTGGTTTTGCGTTGAGGGGGTGGGTATGGAAACAAACAGAAATTCAGGGCGGAGTTCCAAATATCTTGAACCATGCTTAGAACCCCCCACATCCCAGAAACGCAAGAAAACAGAGAAAAAGGACTAAAAAAAAGGTTTATGATTGCATCATTTGATTTTCCTTAGGGTCGTTTTTGGATGGACCGTTTTTGTTGATTGATATGATAATGTCTTGCCATGGTCAGTGTTGCTGCACTTCAACTCATGATTTTATATCCATATGATAGGGAGGACTGCCCATGTATGTTGCAATGCGTGGATTATACAGTATGAAGCCCCCGACGATCATTGTACCAAAGGGTATAAAAGAACTCGTGGAACAACTTTTTGAGGAGCACAGAAAAATGGACCAATCGGAGCTGAAGCATAACCTTATTGGCTTGGATGTTGGTTATCATTGATTGCTAATCAAATTCATCCATCAGATGACAATTGTTCTTCTTGTGCCTTCTACTTTCAGATTCGATGTTATCTTATGTACTGTATGTTTGCAGGAGAAGAATTCTCTATGAGAAGGGATCTCAACGTAAAAGCCTTTAGGACTTCCCATGGAATACCAAGTCAGGTATCCCATTTATTTGTATATTTGTAACATTCTCTCTTTCGGAATTCTATTAAGACTCCGAGCGACAACTTTTGTTGAGATTTATCGAAGTACTAACTCGCTATGCATGATATATGACAGGGCTATGTAGTATACTCCGTAAAACAAAAACTTAAGCAGGAGTACATTTGCCTTTCTGGGAATGAAATTAAAACCTTAAAATCATCAGGTGTTGAGGTGTGACTTTAAAATCCCAGATCGCTTTTTCTATTTAGTTTCTCCTTTAAGCTACTTGATTGCCTTTTTTGTTCATTGACTATTACTTATCGTTTTTCCTCTCTTGATTGCATTTCTGTTTTTCGGGTTATCTTATTTGCAGATTACAAACACTCTTACAGAACCTCAAGTTGCTTTTACAGGAGATACCACGTTGGACTTCATAACTGACAGTAGTAATATTGATGTGCTGAAGGCAAAGATTCTCGTTGCGGCAGTGAATCACTCGCTTAAAGTTCATAGCATGTGTGAGGCTATTATAAATGGTTAGTGTATAATGTGTTATACTACTGTAACTTGTTTCCAATCTTTCATGCAGAGCACGTTCTTAGATGACTCGGTTGAAGTGGAGCATGCCAGAGACTACGGACACATACATCTATCTGAGGTTCGTCTCCAGAGTGATTGGATTCGTTACTGCCTGCCTTCGTCAATCTATCATTTTCATTGTATCTATCTAGGCTTCCCCAATGTTTGATCTTGTCATATCTGTACGGTTTTATTTCAGATTATTAGTCAAGCAGAGAAGTTTGTAAACCGAGCAATTCTTCTTATTCACTTTTCCGCTCGGTACACAGTACAGGTATGATGGTCAGTCCATAGCTGCTTTGTATATTTGTCATTAAGCTATTGATGTTCATGCTTGTGTTTTACCAGGAAATTGAACAAGCTGTATCAGCATTGCCGCCTCCTTTAGCAGGCCGAGTTTTTGCGCTTACAGAAGGTATTTGATGGTAGAGCCAGTCAGCTTCTTTGATCTTTTCATGACATCAATTTTGGCAACTTAAATTTGTGTGCCGAAGACAGAAGCATACACAAATTCATTGATTCTTTAAGGTTAAAACAGAAGAATTATGAACATTCGAAACTTAGAACTTTATAGATACTGCAATTTCAGTAAGAAAAATTACAATTTCACAAAAACAATTCAGAAAGAAGATGAAACATAGTGATGGAAGCTAGTTTTGCACTCAAATTTCAGCCATCAATTTACCAGCCACATTGGCCACAGAACAGCAAGGCCTTGCTTCCAAGGTCAAGGAAGAAACCACTTCGTTTATCGATCTCAGCTCTTCGTGAAACTCCGGATGCAACACAAATGCGGAATAATTCTCGTCCAGCACCAACCCGATACATTTTACAACATTTTCAAGCTTAGGAACCCAATCACAAGCCTTCAAGCCCGACGCTGTTGATGCCTGAGGAAACCTCTCATACTTCTTCAGCCACTTACCCAAATACCGCAGCAAGCTCTTCATCTCCTTCCCACTCAGCTTACGAATCGCGGCCGAAAACATCACCTCATCGAGGTTCTTCGAAGCCAACAGATAATGCAGGCAGAGTTCTGCAGAAGAGAACCCATCATACGCTACCATGAGCAAAACCGCAGCATCTTTCGCAACTCTTAATTTCTTGTCCGAGAGACTCTGATCTCCGGCCTTCTGAGCTGCGGCCAATGCCCGGCTCTCCCATTCCTTCCTCACATCCATGGAGCTAGCATAACTGTCTTTAGGCGGATCAAGGAAGTACTTCAAGATCAGCAGCAACTCCGATGACCCGAGATCAGAAGCATGCTTAACACAAAGACAAAGCAGTTCCGACCTCCTCTTTGCAACGAGTTTCGGAACCAAATGCTGATAACAAGAATTGGGGAAAACCCCATTTGCAATCAAAGCACCTACCAAATCCCAAATCTCCAAAACAACACAGGAATCCAAAACCAAACCAGCAACATCCTTGCCAATCAAATTCCCAACTTTCTCAATCAAAACCCGGGAATACCCATCATTCGACGAATCGACCCCAATCGATTCCCCAGCTTTCTTTTTCTCCCAAATGTTCTCGAGAAACGGATTTAGGATTCCCAAGAACTCAACTTTGGTGAAATTGGTCGGGTTTTTTAGCTTCTTTTGAAGCTTGGTGAAGAATTTCTTGCCCGAATCGATGAGCTCGGAGTCGGTTTGTGAGATTTTCCATCCGTCGATTGGGATTGCAGCTGCCGAGGCATTTGGATCGTCGAATTTGGGTTTCAAATTCTCAAAAATAGGTTCCGGGTCAAGAACAATGGGGTAGTCTGATGGGGCGGATTGGGTTTGGGATTTGGCCGAGGCTCTCGCAATGACTTCGAGCAACGACATGGCTGAAGAATCACAGAGCTTACCAAGTGTGGCGTCGTCGGCGGTGGAAAGTGCAGAGATTGGGAAAAAAGTTACAGGTGCCGACTGCAGAGTTTCTGTCGAGCAGCGAAAGAGAGGGTTGAGGGAGGAAGGGTTTTAGTTCGCGGACACGAAAGAGGAATTAGGGTTTTAGCCAATATTGGGCCTGAAACCAACCAATTTTGGGCCTTTATGCCCATTTACCCTTTTTTTGTCAAAACATTTTGTTAACTTTTTTGTTTTTGTTTTTGTTTTGTTTAATAAATGATTATATTTGGAAAGAAATTTTATTGTTCAATGTCACAACAAAGTTACGTTATCATAATAAGCATTTGGAAAAATTAGATATTGTTGTAATTCGCAGGCCATTCATTGTGGATACCCACATATCCCACTATCAATCTACTGTTCATCCCACCACAACTTTGTCTAAAGTCTTGTCTATAAAATAGATGAGAAGAAGGAGAGCAAATATACACAGATACACATATGGCTGGTAGAGGAAGAAAGAAGAGAGGAAGAAGAGAGGAGATAATAGAAAGAGTTATCTTTGTAATCTTATTATTTCAGATTATAATGAAAGCATCAATGCTGCTCCGAGGACGTACTCCATTCAAACTGACTGTAGAGGAACCTCGTAAATTTTGTGTTTGTTTATTTATTCTACTGCACACACCGTCAGTTTTACAACAAATATCGAATTAATGACAATTATATATCATCATCCACCATTTGTATGAGTCAAATAAACCTTGATATATGTTCAATTTTGTAAGCTAATATTAGAAATAGTCCATTTTAATAAAACAAGTTCAAACTCTTAAGTTTGAATTATTTTATTATGAATTATTCCTTCTTTAATGATAAGATTTATTTCTTCTTCTTTTTTTCTTGCTATTTCTTTTTCTTCCTGCTCTAAACCTCATTTATAGATTTTATTTCTTTATAATCAACCTATATTACAAGTTAATTATATTTATCTATTTATATGACAATTTTTTTATTTTTTATAATCAACATATCACAGATTAGTATGTCTCACTTATAAGTATATTACGTTTTTGTACCTTTTAGTTGGGTTTCATCTCTCGCTTGTAAGTATAATATATATTCATATATTTATTACTTGAATTAGGACTGTATGTCTGGATTTGTGTTTGTATATTAGTTTTTTTGTTAAAAGATATTAAGTAGATTTATTGAAATTAGAAAATTCATGAAATTAGAAGATATTAATTTATCTCTAATATTTAAAAAAAAATATAAAATGAGTACAAAAGAAATAAAAATGGAGAAAAGATAATACTGGACTTAACCTAAAACTGTGTTTATTTTTTGAGCCCATATCTAAATGCCCAAAATAAAATTAGGGGTGTGCTATCCACATACCTCTTGATAATTTCTATTCGTTGATATTTTTCAATTCATCTGATCCGACGTCCGAAAATTAAAAAGGTGTGTGAGAAGTAAAATGGGGTGTGTGGATATCACACCCCTAAAATTACCACATCATTACTCTACTACCATAGATGATCACTCCCTTTCTTTCCCCATCAGGCATAATATATCACAGAAAGGAAAGAAGGCAAGGGGACAATTAACTAACTAGAAGGACTTGAAGAAGAAAATCCCCTTCGTTTTATTTCTAACTACAGAAAATGTCGAAAGGGTCAGCGGTAGCTGCTATGTCCTACATCAGTGATGCAACTGAACCTACAACTACATACTTGTTCGCACTGAACTGAAGGCGCCGCGTTCTTCTCATTGAGTCCTAATGGCGCAGCGCTCTCAGGTAGAAGGTGGAGTTTGCCATTGCTTTGGCAGTGGACCAACATCATAGATGATCTCTCTATGGCAAGACCACACCAGCTTTATTGCTTCTGGGGTCCCAATGCCGGCTCCTCTCGGGTCTCCAGCCGGTCCAAACCTGTCACAGATCATTGTTTGACATATATAAGCGCTCGGAGATCTTCTCGTGAAGTACTCAAAGTATAAGAGATTTTGTACTCACCAGTGATTCTGTGGAGCTCCAGTTGTTCTTGCTCTCAGTCCAGCATAAGTAGTTCCATTTACCGTGTTCCCAATAACTTCCTGCAAAATAGACTTTCGGAATAAGGAAAATGGAAATTGCGCAGTTGATTTGGGATAAGAAAAATCTGTGATTGAATAAATATAGAGACAAAGGTTAAGTCTTGCCTGTAGAAACAGTGGATCGTTTGAAACGACAGCAGCTGTTAAATGTGCATGCATCCTCTCTAGAGCATCCAACACCAGTGGGAGTTGATCGTTCTTATAGTCGGTGACAATCTGGGTGAAAATATATTAACTCAAGTCAGTTACCTATAGCTGTGAAGAAGTGCCTAATGAAACAAATAAAAATAAAAAGGATAGAAGAAAAACTTTGGTAGCATGTCTTTTCTTTGTTACCTGAAATGGCCCAAAAATTTCTCTTGTTACGAGTTCATAATTCTTTTCCTTCAGTATTTCTTCAAGTGGAACATAAACGGCTGTAGGTTTTATAGCACCATATACAGGTGGAATGGAATGATCCGTCAAAGGTTCGCCCCCAAAGAGTAGCTTTGAACCTGGTATCTGAAGCAATTTATTCTTGTGTTCTAGCATTGCTTCAGTCGTGAACTGCATCAACAACATACGCGTGTAAGAAGATATTTTGTTAAATAACTGAAATTAGTTCGAACAGGACAGGTAGTGTACGTACTGTAAGGACAGGGCCGATCGTTAAGTCTTCTAAGTTCCTTCTCTCAGCCAGATCTTTCATTTTGGATAGAATTGACGTCTTAGACCAGTTCTGCATAAGAATATAAAACATCAACAAAAAAAGGATAACAAAAATGTTGACAAGTTCGTTGAACTCGAAATTTCTCAACAACAAGGGAATGTATACAGATTCCAGAAGGTTTGAAATCGGAGAATCTTTACCTCATGCATGAAGAGCATCGATTGCGCAGAGCATTTCTGACCACTGCACGCATATGCATCCTGATCACAGACCCAGGCAACGTAGTCTTCCTGCCATATAGAAAAGAAACAAGATAAATCAATAACGTATGTGACTCTACAAAGAAGGAGTTGTATTATCTAAAAACATAAGATTGTTGTAAGAAACCTCCTGAACGTCAGGCCCTAAGATCTTCCAGTCAAATCCTGCATCTTCCAACTTAACACGACCCTTCAGGTCACCAGCCAACTTATCTGCCACTCTTGAGCTACCCGTGAAAAGGGTCATTCGTGGATTGCCCTGTTGACGCAAATCAAGTAAAATGTTATTTCAATTGACATGTCATAAGTTGGTAACATGACCTCTAGGAACTGCAAATATGCGGATGAAAGCTATGAGCAGTGTCTTTTATAGATCAATGTACAGTAGCAGACAATTTAACTCTGCACATTGAACGAACCTCCAATAGTAACTTGTTCATTGTCTTCCCATCAGAATTTATGAAGTCAACATCCTCTGTCGGTAGCCCACAGTAATGAAGCAGCCTCATCATTTGCTCCATGACAATGCATACCTACAAAGAAAATGTTTCCTCACCAGTTAAAATTATCCACAACGAGACGAGATCACAATGAGCTACATGACCAAAAAAGAATCCAAAACCTAACTGAGAAGGGTTTCAAATAGATTAAACGATTGCGTTAGACCCAGAAATTTAGCCCAGCATACCTTGCTATCGACTTTGAGGACTGGTTTGTTACCCATATAAAGTGCACCCATCAACTGAAGTACAGGAATTTCTAGTGGAAAATTAAAGGGAGTAATGATTGCAACCTGCAAAAAGAGTTTTTTATTATATCCAATTATGAAAATAACGAAATTTGTTTGAAGAGCTCAAGGTTTTGGGTTACAAACAAAAACCGAGTATGTTCAGAGGTAATGCTTACAGGACCATAAGGCCAACGGAAACCATGACTTTGCTGTCCAAGATGATTTCCAGGCACCCCGAAAGATCTTGCAAGGAAGCGGACCTGCCACGTGTGAAACAAGATATTAACGAAACTGGAAAAAGGATTTTATGTGAATTTGGTTACAGAAATGGCATTGTACTGTGCTTAAACCAAGAGTAAATAAATGAAATGTTACTTTACTACTATACTTGTGGGCCCTTTTCTCTCTCACGTATACGCTATAAACATGAACGTGAACTGTGGTGATGTTTGTTTATAGTGCATACCTGATCAGCAGAGAAATTCTCCAGAAATTTTTGAGTAACATAAACTTCACCGGAAGCCTGCTGGTAACTCTTTGGAGCAACCCTTTGTATTAATCTTGTGAAGAAATCAGAAACCTGACAGCCATACAATATTAAAATTGTTCATAAAATTATAATAATCATGTAAAATGGTTGAACTGCATCATCATAATCCAACAGAAGGAGGTCAAAAAGAAGAACACTGTCTTTCTGCTGTACAGTTGTTACCTTTGGCAAGGAAAGCATGCGACCTGCCTTTGCAGATATGTCCCCCAACATAAGATACCTGCAAAAAATGGTATATCAGTTGTAATTTTTGTTTCAATTTTTTTAGAATATCGCTGTCGAGTTCTTTAAAGGGAAAAGTAAATGAAAATCTTGCTATCCTCTACCATTACATGAATCTATGCGAGTAATCTAGCGAAACTGATGATATCTAAAGATAAATGAGGACACAGAAACAGGAATGATAATAAACACAAACCTCTCTGGTGCTTTGAACGGATTGTGAAGACCATGTTTCGGGCACTTGGACAAGCTCTCCACAAATGGCTGCAATAGCAATACAGCAGTCCAAAAAACATTAGTTACTGTACATATCAATGACATGGAACAAATAACAGTTTAAGCTAATTACTACATTACATTCCAAAGGAAATGATAGATTTGTAAAAAAAGCAAAAAAGGATACTTGTACTGTACAATCTGCAGGCATACCTGAATTCCTGTTTCATCAACTTCGCAGACTCTAATGAATGGCTCCCCATTTAAAGGATCCAAAATTGTGTTCCATCTATCAGTGTTCTTCCATTTACCCTGCACTGAAAAAATACGACATTTCTTTGTATAAAAAGATAACATAGAAAATACTGTCAAAAAAGTTGATGTAAGGAAATACACTTAACGAATCAGGTTATAATCCGTTCAAGTTTTTAGTCTCCAGTTATAACTCCAAGACCAATTTCTGTTCTGAGTGCAGAGCACTTTTCATGGGAACCAATTTCCGCTGGCAAATG